TGAGATTTTTACGAAACTATTTCTTTTTTTTTTTTTTTTTTTAATTTACAAAAAAGTTAAACAGAGTAAAAGAAGTTCATTTGTATCAAAAATTATTCATGTACTAAACAAAGCATTTTGATTTTATGTTACTTTTGTTTTTTTGGTTTAGCTAACTACAATTCATAACATACATCAAAACCATTTATTTAAAATAATTGTAGTTGATAGAAAATAAATCAACATGAAATATTGTTGAATAATAAAACCAATGATATTAATACTGAAGGAGTTGTTTTAAGTACGATAAGCCTTCATAAAACCATTTTCGGAGCTTAAGAATAAAACTTGTAACATAAAATGTTTTACTTATTGGAACGATCAAAGTTTTAGAACAAGTTTGTCAGACAAAAGATGATTATAGATGTTTAAGAGAATAATAATGATGCATATTAGCCATCGTCTTTTAGTAAATATTTAGGTAAATTATGATCTAAGGATTTAGTAAATGATGTTAGTTTATCATATGTCATTAGTATTACAATTAATAAAATTACTAATCATTATTAATCATAGAAAATAGTGGAACCATTAGCACAGCGGATTTTTTTTATTTATAAATATCAATTTTGTGCAAATATTTCAACGTTTCCCGTAGCAACTAAGTGTAACAAACGAAGACACTACGATGGGTTTTGTTTTGATATCACATTAGTTTAAAATAGAAGTCATAGAAAAAGACTATAAAAAAAAAACATTTTTCCAAATTTTAATGAAATTTTTTTATAATTTTTAAATCAATAATATCAAATTACGTTTATTCAGAAGCAAGGTCAACCAAAATACTTACTTTCTATAATGATATAATGAGACTTGATTAAGTAGTTTAACGACGCAATAGAATTTATACCGAGATTAATTTCTACTTTTAAGTAAATTGAAATATTTACTTTTAATTATTGATTTATATCATTGCTGTTAATTACAGTAATACAAAGTATAAAAAGTGATTGTATTCGTGGGTTCGTAGTCATGTCCAAATGCATATATTATGAACTTTTGCAAAACAGCACATTTTCTAATTTAATGACCAGATATATTTAAAATTTTCATAAGTATAAACAAAGAATAGATTGAAATGTTTTAAATTTAATTAATTCGTTATTATACTAAAACTGTTTTGGCTTTTAAGTTTAATTACGTTTTATACATTAACATTTTCTACAGCAATCGCTTAAAGGTCAAATGCTTAATATTTTATCACACAAATTGTATTGTAACATTTAAGGTTGTGGTTTTTTAATTTATAGTACAAACATTAAAAATCAAGTATGTAATGTTCAAAATTATAAATTAAATATAAGAATTATTTTGTGTCTCTATGATCTTATGATCATACAATTAAATGGTAAATGGATATTGCATCCTTAGTCTTATTACGTAATAGGCATATGAAATAGGAATAATATAATTTTAACACAATTATATCTAACGAATTGGGTATTTATAACAAAATCTTAATTTAATAGTAATAAATTTATAATAACTGAAGAACATAAAATCTTTTTTAACCGTTGCGCCAATTTTTATTATTAATTTTACTAAAATATACATATATAAAAATATGTGGTGACTTACCTTCTAAATCTTGACCAAGATTTGAAGTAGTATCATCTGAAAGTAAAAAAAATTTTAGCCGGTTTTAATTAATTTAGTAATAATTACAATTTATTATTTAACTTAAGAATTAACATAAATAATAGAAAACAAAATATGCAAGAGCCAATAGGAAAAAATATCATAATATTTCTAAATTATATTATACTTTATAGTAAAAAAAAATTCTAGCTCATACATCATTTTTCTATACAATACCTGTAAAAACGGTGGTATTTTATCATTTAAAATATTTATTTAAACAACATTTTTTTAAGCCATAAATATAGTTTAAAAAGTATCTATAAATGCAAAATTATTTGTTTTTGACCAAGAACTACTTAAGAAAATTAACAAATTTTACTATATCTCTTACAGGGCAATAACGATGTAATTTTTATTGAGATGATAACGACGTTCATTTGACCTATTGACTATCTTTATACAATTGGATTTGGTCGTTTATAATTTAAAAACTCAGTTCACTCGTGACATAGTGAGAATCCAGCATAATAGACTTCAGTAATAATTGTAATAACATTACTATGCAAAAACGTTTCAAAGTGATTGTTTATAAAAAGGCTAAAAAACAAATCGAAACATTTTACAAATATTGACTTTAGACTCCTATTACGTACATCAAGAATAGTTTTTCTTTTATAGCCTTAAAGTATACATTAAAAGCTTTTACTTAGTTTAAGTTTAAGAAACGCAGAATATCCGGAATATTATCGAAAGTTGAAAAGAAATTTTGTATACGAATGCTTCTAAGTTCAAACAGTTCTTGTAATTAGAATTTTAATTAGATTCTTATAACACTCATATTGATAGAAGATAATAGAAAGACACCCTTAAAATGTATAAAAAATGGATTAAAAAAATAAATAATATTTGATAAATCCAGAAATACAAAAAATATTAAAAATAATTTTATTAATATAATTATTATTTGAAGAGAAACGAGTTGCTAGCATTAAAATAATTATCCCAGAAATATCTGTTGTGGGGTCTAATATTATAATCCGAAAAATACAAAAAATCATGGAAATATTAAATGTATTTATTTTTATTTAAGTCATAAAATTGTAAATTTAAAAAAAATTATAAAAATAAAGTTTTAAAAACGCTTTGAATTCATTAAACAATGTGTGATAATCGTGCGTAATAATATTAAGTATAAGGTGTAAGAAAATAATCATTTATTTGCACCGCACTTGTACAATGATGTTATATTTTTTGATTCCATTATTTCAAAAAGCTATGAATTAAAAATTTTGCATTTTGACCAACTATTTTAGGTTGCTGCATTAGTTTTCAGATTTTTAATAATATAATATTTCTGCACCTTTAGTCATCTTTGAGGCGGTAGCAAATTAATTACTATAGAAAAGTAATTCATTAAAAAATAGCTATCTGGAGGCAATCGAATATTGAACATTTTTCAAATATTTTACACAATTTTTTAGTAATACATGGAAAATGCCTAAAATCACAATTTTCTTTTCCTTTTATTACCTAAATTTAACTTAAATTAATTAACATTATTAAAAGACTAATGATCTCCTTATAAATGAAAATATTGAAAAAATAATATCAAATTTGAATTTAGTAACCACAAACATATATATTATGATAATTTACATGAAAAATCAACTAAAATGAATAAAAGATCCGTATGCTACCTTTTGAAAAGGAGTGATATTGAAATCATAATATGAAATTTCGAGTTTAATATTTTTAGTTTTAAATATTAACAAATTTTAATTTAGCGATTTCAAAAACATAATTATCAACCTTTTTTCCACTTAAAATTATAAATTCTGAATCAATTTAATTTTGTACATCTAAAATTATATTTTTGATCTTTGTGGGTCTTCAAGTTGTTATGAAAATAATAAAATTAAATCTTTGAACTTGTTGGATTATAATTTTGGAAGGATTTTTAAATTTAATTCTCTCGTTTCCGAGAAATATTTTAACAAACAAAAACAAAGAAACATTTTTTGGATGAACACCTGAAGAATTTACCAAACTCCGTCAGTGGTTGAATAATTTAACACTAGTCAATCTCACTTTTATTTAAAAAAATATTTTATGTATATTACTATTAGTTATAATAATAGTAAATAATTTTCTTTCTTTTCTTTCTGTTTTTTATTAATCGAAATATTGCTAAGTCTGTCAAATATTTATAAAAAAAAACTATATTAATACAATACTTTTAATATATCGTTATTATTATCGTTGAGAAATACGATGACACGTGGATATTAAGAACAGCTATATAAGTTTCACTGGGCAAACTAGGGTAGGGGCCGGTGACCTCAAAAATAAAAACCTTCATGAAATAAAACCAAGTGGTATATGATAGACCGTCAGAGAAGGGTGGCATTGTACCGTTTCGGTCGTGCTCGCTGACAACAGAAGTAGTTATAAAAGCATACAGCGTGTAGTTTGTGTACCCCAAAAACTTCCTATCCGGCGCACCTGTACCCTACACCGCTTCCCCGTCGTTTTAAAATTCTTCCCACCGGTTGTATAGACCCGTGGTACGGAAGCGGGCTATCAGGTGCCATGCGGGTCCACTGGTTAACCTGTGCACAAAGTACTCTCTAAGCGATAAGCTGTTGTTTTTCGCAAAGGTAGAATATTTTACTATTTTATCTATTTAATTAGCTCAATGATAATAATCATCAATTACTTGCATAGAACCCCTCCCAAAAAGAAAAACTTTATAAAATTAACTTGACAAAAATAAAATATTGCCTAAATCGAATTTAACCTTTTTTTCCCATAAAAAGTCATCGAGATAATTAAACATTTTTAAACATTATAATGGATTAATTAATTTAAGGGACGAAAGTCGACTTTTGCTAAATTAGAGAAACAAACAGAGCAAACCGTTTCGTTCTTTATTATTTTATTAGCATTATTTTTCTGTAAAATTTTTAATTCGTTATCTCTACCTTATTAGTAGTCAAAACAGTTGCTTGCTCTTTATGTATTTCTTCTAATATTAACTCGATTTTTACTAAAAACAAAATTTCATTAATCTTAAAAAAAATATATATAAACTTGAGTCATCAAATTAGCTGTATTAATTTGTATAAATAATTTGAAATGGTGTATTTTGTGACTGGTATGAAAACGTTATTATCATTAACTATTGTTTAGAGGACTTTATATTTTACGAAAAATAATGTTTTCCTCTTGTTATTATTTTTGTAATAAATTCGTTAAGTAAATTTATTTGATTTATTGTAGAATCACTAGCAAGTGATAAATACATTTTAATTGGTCTAGTAAATTTATCAAAAACAATTAAACATATATTAAAAATAAATAATAATAATTAAGGTAATAAATCAATGATTGATATTAGCTAATCATTTGTTATTATAAGACTGAACATTCAGATATTTAATAGATCAATCGAGCGCAAATATACTATATGTGACAAGGTTTTTACAGCGATTTGGTATTTTAGTTAGTTTTTTGATTATCTCAATGATAATTTATTTAATGATATTTTTTGATAATTAATTAAAGGTAATAAAATTAAAACAAATCAAACGTACTAATAAATGTTTATAAAAAATCAAAATATTTTTTGCCATTTGACAAATTAACTATACAATAATTATCTAGTAAAAAAAAGAAAAAGTAAAAAATGTAAACAAAAATAGCAGTGCACACACTCACACAATAACACACACATTCATCACAAGACTAGAATCGATAACCACGTGTTGGCTAACGACGACGACGTACCTGCTAAACGTAAAGCTGACATTCGTTGGAATTCAGGTTCCTGTAGCCACTTCCACATTCGTCTAAATGTTTCTCGCCCTGACTTGAGCTTGGACCATGGTTTTGGGTTGCGTAATAAGTCCGATAGCGTCCCTTGTGAACGGCAGAGTACACGTTGAGCGAATATGGCTTGTGGAATACTATACCGCTTAAGCTCAGCACTTATCCTTTGAGCCAATTCTTTAGTGTTGATTTCTTCTAGATCGTTAGAACTACTATTGGAACCACTGCCGCCATTCCCAGTATTTTGTACGAGAACTGTAGTAGCCGTGCCAGCTGACTGAACGTTTGCAGTTGTTACAGTGTTAGCTTTTATAAGAGCGGGGGCTGACTGATGTTGATGCTGATGCTGGTGATGCATTTGATTTTGCTGTTGTGCTATCAACGTCATGCGCTGATGATGGTGATGTTGCTGTTGAATGTCCGGTGGCGATGGTGATGACGTCGTCACTATAATTTCACGCGTCTGGATTGGGTGAATTACTAATGATGGCGAATGTTGGGGTGAAACAGCATTGCCGGGATGTGGAGTTATGGTTGTCAAACCATTGACGTTGGGTAGAGTTGCGGCCGTAGCCATAGATACAGGAGTAGACCCAAAATTGATAGCTACCGAACCGGTGGGTGCTGGTGGAGAATGAAGTGAACTTGAGTTTTGGCTGCATATATCTGGACTATGTACCACCACAGCCGTAGCGCCGGTAGGTCCTCTACCACCACCTGGACCCAACTGCTGAGTGAACGGCGAATCATAGTCGTTTGGTGACATGCTTTTTTGAGGTGAATTAAGATCACCGTTTTGACTATATGCACTTTGAGGAGATAGGGGAGAGTTAGGCGCTGGTAAATGGTGCATTGTAGGTGAGTAATTATTAGGTGACATACCCATTTTATCGTACGAGTACGGGCTATTAACTACCATACCTAGCCCAATATTGTTTTGCATAACCGTGAAAGAGCCAGCAACGTTGTTAGCATGTCCATAAACAAACTTATCAGACATGGTAGATATAGGCGGTAAAGGTTGCAATGGTGTAAGCGTCGCATATGACGACGAATTAGGACTATATCCGGGAGGTGAGAGTCTGCCGTTGACCGAAGTTAATGTCTGGTACGTAGGTTCAGATTGAACATTACCATTAGCGTTATTTCGGTGATTGGTCGACCCGCTATAATCTTGAGACTCAATCATACCGGCCACACTTACTGTAAGTCTTGGGTTGAGTTTTCTATCGGCCACTGCGTCCGGATGATGGACTATTACTGTAATAGTACCATTGTTATTATTGTTGTTACTATTATCGGATTGTTTTCCAGTATTGTTCACTACATCGGTGGAACGACCATCGTCGTCGTCGTCGTCAATAGACGAACATTGATTAATGCGATCGTCTTCCTCGTCGTCCTCTTCGTCTTCTTCGTCTGGATGTTGATGGTGGTGTTGGTGTTGTTGTTGTTGTTGATGGTGGTGGTGCAATTGTTGATGATGTTGTTGCTGTGTTTGAAGTAATCGACGTTCATTACACACGATTCTACTACCGCCACCGTTGGTGTGTTGTTGTTGCCGTGGCACCCGGGTAATGCACAGCTCACGCGTTTGGTCTGTGGACGAACGGCGGACAACCACCTCCTGTTGAGGTGAATCCGTCATAGTTTCGACCACAACTTCGTTGAGCGGCGACTCGGGCGCCATGTCTCCAATGCCGTCCATTTAAAATTTCCGTCTGTATCGGTACAGCAGGTTGACTGTTGAAAGCATTTTTTGTGTACTCACGTGATTTGACGTAATGTATTTATCGTCCAAAACAACAACGACGGCGAGCAACGGAAACGGCGAAAACGGAAAAAACGGCAGCGCCGCGTGTAACGTCGATACTCATTAAAGCCAATTAAATACGATTTGAATCGTTCACTGATAAAACTGTGATTAAACAAAACGTTCACTGCGGACACGTAATTAATTTACACGGATATTGATTGAAACCTATGTAATAATAAAAACTCTATCAGCTCCAGCTGTCGGTAACGGCGGTGGTGGTGGCGGTGGCGGCTTTTAATCGAACGGCCAATTCGACCTGGGGGTGTTTGGCTCTTTGTGGTGTCCCCGCTTCCACCCTTCCTGGTGGTACGCCGAGTGTGTATGAGTGTGTGCGTTGTCGGAGAGTGCGCGCGCTAAACGTCTTGAGCCAAACGATTCGATCGGACGATTGATTGAACGCCGTTGCCGCGTATGCTCTATCTGACCGCGTCGGTGGACGCCATCGATTTTGCTCGGCAAAGTTTCGAATGTTCGGGGAGCGGCAGCAGAAGGGAGTGAGCGCGCTGCGTGGTGGCTGCCGGCCGAGTTACCGCCGGTCGACACTGAAAATTATGTTTTATTGATCCGTCCCGTCGGGTAATTGAGCGGAGACCCCGGTGTTCGGCGGCGTGCAGTGGTGCCACGCGTTCACTGTCGACGACAGAGTGGTGCGGTGGACGTTACGGAAGGGATCGAAGAGGACAACCCCTACACGAGCGCGCATATATACACGCACACTTCACCCTATACTGCGTGCAGCTGGACGAAGCAGTGGGGTCACTGTGCGTTGACTACGTGTTGTTTTTTTACAGACAACGGTATAAATGTACACTGTAGTAACACATATTATAGTATAATACTATTAGCACACAACGTTATAGCACAACTAGGGAGAACTTAAAAAAAATCATTAACATCGATACTTTCTATTGGGTCAACGATTTTTTTTTTAGACGTATCGATCTGTTACTAAATAAAGATCGATTTTATCAACCGAATCTAATTTCCAACCACAAAATAATAAACACAAGACTTAATATTGAATATTTAGGCATTAAAAATGGAAAATCTTGTAATTTCTATTATTAAAAGTTGATTAATTTAATTTGTGAACTTTAAATTTCAATACGCCATCTTGTAAAATAACTAAAAGTAATTAAACTAAATATATTTGTAACATCTTCTAATAAAAATCAATTAAATTATACTTGGCAGTTTATTTACTAACCAAAATGATTTTTTGCTTCTTCAAAATTATATTTTAAAATAAATTATTATTACAAGTAAAAAAAATTAATTAACGTTCGTAAAAAATTGTTTTTTTTTTTCATTTGAATCTTTATGAAAGCAATCAAATAACAATATTTAATTATAGAAATACTTCTAAAAAATTGATAATATACTTTTTCATTTAAACTTTTCATTGAGAGTAACTACAAGATTTTTGTGTAATTCTTTGAAATGCCCTTTGGGATTTCATTTCCCATTAAATTTAGTTTTATTACTCATAAATGTTGTTTACCTGTACATTTATTGGATTATTCAATCAAACTTTGCAATTGAAACTTTAATGGCACTACCATCACATTATACAACTACTCTTGAACACTGACAATTCAATTGGATATCCTCAGCTACATTATCCAGACGATAAAATGTGTCTCTCATACATTTTTCAAAATAATTTGATTAATATTAATCTTTACACATTATGCTACTTTGTATATATATATAATACAATATGATTTATTAAGAATATTACTTCAGATTTTTTCATAAAAATGTTTACTGTAAAAAAACGATTTTTAAGGGTGACATCATGGTTATATTAAATGTAAAAATATAATTATTTTTATACAATTAGATAAAGAATATACTTTCTAAAAAATTGATTGGCAGATATCCAGTTTTGAATTATTACTTAGTTATTTATGTATAATGATTTAGAAAAGATAAGGAATGAGGATGAGCCATGAAATTTTATCAAAAACAATAAATAAGAATGTTGTCAGTTTCACAACCCTTTTGCCTGTACTTAAAAATATAATTAATTTTAAAGAAACACATTTTGCTTATGATAATTTGAGTTAATAATAATTTATAATTAATTAATTAATTTAGGCTCAAATGAGCACCAATGATGAATTTTAGCTTCGATGCGAAGCTGAGAAGGTATTGGTTTTACTATGATGTGTTTTTTTTTTTTTTTTTTTTTTGTGTCTGTTACCACTTTTTCTCAGCTCTCACCGAACGGATTTCTTTCAACGATACGTCAAAAGATCACAAATCGTATCTAGTCGAAGACATTACCCTTCAAAATTGAAAAAATTTCCCTCGTTCCCCGTAAATGGGGGAAACCTCCAAAAAAATTACAAATTTAAAAATCGCTAATTTTCGAAATTTTTTCAATTTTTTTTACTAAAAACTGCCGTAACTTTTTCAAAAATGAACATATCAATATAATTTTTTTTTATATAGATGCTTGATGTCTTTACCTATCATTTGGTATATTTTTTTTGTAAATCTGACACTTAACCTGCCCACAGGGGGGGATTTAAAATGACAACTTTTTCACAAAAAATTAACTTTTTCAACTTAACTTTTGAAAATGTTCCGGAAGGTCTGACACTTTTATATATATTTGATATTAAAGCTAATGTAATGTACTTTAATTTGAAAAAAAAAAATTTGACCTCTGGACTTGTCTTCATGGTGAAAACGGCTACCGAATGCTATTTTTGTGTGAAAATTTTCGATTTTATAATTTACATTTTTTACTTTAAAGTGCTATAACTTTTTAAAAAATGTATGGATCAATACAATTTTTTCATGAGAAGTAGTATTTATATACATCTTTCATTGGATATACTTTTTTTTTAAATCAGACTATTTCCCTATATATGGGGGGGCTTCAAATATAAAAAATGCATATAGAAAGTAGAACTTTTTCAACTTAACTTTTGAAAGTGTTCCGGAAGGTCTGACACTTTTATATATATCTTAAATTAAAGCTAATGTAATATACTTTAATTTGAAAAAAAAAAATTTGACCTCTGGACTTGTCTTCACGGCGAAAATGGCTACCGAATGCTTTTTTCGTGTGAAAATTCTCGATTTTATTATTTATATTATATTTAACTTTATAATGCTATAACTTATTGAAAAGTTTATGGATCCACACAATTTTTTTATGACAAATAATATTTTTTAATAAACCCTGTTTCATTTACCATACTTTATCTTTATCGAGATATTAATAAGGAACCAGCAGATCAAGTAGCTTTTGGAATAAAACACCAATTTTTTTAAAATTAAACACTATCTAAAGATTTGCATCGAAGCGTTTATTTTTGATAGTGATTTTAATCACTGTCAGATATCATTTACTTGATCCAACTATGCCACGTCACCACTGTGCCGCGACCCCCCTGTGCTGGGTTTTTTTATTCTATTTTTTAAATTATAACCACTTAGAAACTATGTATGTTTGCTTGTAATGTGATTTAATTTTTTAACTGTTTTCGCAAATTCCTACCAATCCTTAGCGTAGTGATTTGCATCAATTACCTGAAAAATAGAAATGTTTTTTGCCATTAGCTATTTTAGAAAAAACAATATTTCTTTATTCTATATAATTTGAATTAGTTTCGTGAAATTTTCAAAAAATTTATCTTTAGTAAGAAATACTAGTTATTACTTTATTTGTAATTTAGTAAATTTTAAGAAAATATCTTCAAAAATTGTGGAGAATCTTATTAAATTCAATACTTGTGACGTTTTTTAAAAGTATTAATATTTGAATATTTGACTTTATAGTTATTCTATATAGAATACTAATATGTAAATTAGTACAACCAGGTGCTATATTGAATACATTGTTAAGTTACCATCTGCACATAAAAACTCCGTTGGTCAACACATATGGAGGGTTGTAATACACGGAGTTTTTTGATTAGGCCAAACAAATTGGGGCACTAAACTCTTAAAATTTTTAAAAAATATTTTAAATATTTGTGTATATTCCAAAATTTGGAGCAATATTTAAGTTAATAAAAAACAAAAATATTGTAAAAAAACATGCGGGGTATATTGAATATATAATGTTGTTTTTATGACAATATTTTTGACTGTTAGTACGATAGATAATTTTAATTGAGAAAGAAATGTATGTGGTTTGAATGAGTTAATACTACGCTATTATCGTTTAAATTATCAAGATTTTTGAAAATCAACTTAATCAACATAATAACGACTTTCTTAAGGAATTGTACAAAATATTTTGTATGAAAAAATGACTTTTTTCTACTAAACATTTGATTCTAAATCTTTATTTATCATATTTATATTATTGCTTATATAATACTTTACTTCTTTAACCGCTACTGTAAATTTGAATTACAAAAAACTTAAAGAAATATAATTAAAACAATTTGATCGAAAAAATACATTTTATTTTTGGGGGCTACAATATTGGTTGATGTTATTTCTCATTTTAATGAAAATATTTTATTTATGTTATAAGAGGCGAAGGAATATTCCTGAAGCCATTTTCTAGATAAAATTTACTAAAATCGATTTACATAGAAATTATTCAACATATATATAATGTCTAGTGTAGATGTAAGTATAAATGTTTATGACATGGCTAAAAATAAAATGAAAGTTTTGGGTGGCTTAAAACAATTATTATTCCTCAGTAAAATAAAAATAACATTTATAGTATTTTCAAATTTGTTAAGCTTCCTTCAATAATAATTTTCAAATAAAAATAAAATTTAATAAATAATAGTTATAAACAATCCATTTTTAATTATGTTCAATGTGTTAACATTCATAAAAAATAATAATAAAACAAATTATGAAAAAAATGTGTTGAGTTAATATCACGGACAAGTGAAAAGGATTTTTTTACTAATTTTAAGAAAATCTTCGTCCGTATCATTTTCTTTCCTACTATAACCAATCCTCCGATTCACCACCATGTATTAAAAAAATGAATCATTTTTAGAAAAATAAAAATAGTTATAGGTAGTTGGTGGTTTATAAGTTTGCTTTATTGATGTTTAATATGTAGCTCGTCTCAATGAATTACATCCAATTCAATAACATAATGTTTTTATCTTCCGGCTTATTAAAAAATATAATGAAATAGTAATTAACTATTCATGAACACTTCATGAAATGCTCAAAAAAATAATTGATACGTAATCCCAAAATTTAATGAAGAAATAAAATTTATGTGTTTGATTTTGACTCAAAGCTAAATTTATTTAGCAATCACACCATGCAGCAATATTAATGCTAATGCTATAAAATTGCTTAAAATTCAAATAATATAATACATCTGTGTTTTTGGATTTAAAATATTGACATTTTTTTTATTAATTTCCCTCATTTATAGAAAAGAAGGGAATTATTTTTATATTTTAGTGAATCTTTTTCTTCAATTTTTAAGCAAAATTAATCTAATTGTTGCTGAAAAAAATAAACTCGTCATACTACTATTATTTATTTAATATCAAACAAAATTAAATACTCATATACAAATTACATTATGGTAAAAATGAAAAATTAATTTGAATTTTATCCAACCTATTGCTTGCAAAATGAATCTTCAAAATTTATTTTAAGTGGTCTATATAAAATATTAAAAAAAATTTCTTTCGTAGCAATATTTTTTTTTACAAAATGTCAATGAAAGCGATATATTAATACAATTAATGTTAGGACAGTATAACAGGCAATGAAAAACAAATAAAATTAAAACTATGTTAAAAATATTATTAATTTAAAAACTAAAAAATATTAAACACAAAAATCAACATAAAATTACTGGGTTAAATGTAAATTTAGTAATAACAATAATAATTAAATATTTTGTGGTTAATGAATTATTTTTATTACATTTAATTTTTAATGTTTTATTTTTAGTTTAAAACTAATTATTTTTTCATTAATTTTCACATTAAAAAAAGAGCTTAGGTGACAGTTATAATTTGAAATCCTATTTTACAATTTAAATTATAAAAATATTTTTGATCTTTAAAATAAAGATTGAAATTATGCTTAATACAAATATTATTATTTTAATATTTTGGCTTTAGAAAAAAAGTTAATAATAATAATAATTAAATTAAAATTTATCTGATATAATTAATCTTATTGTTAATGTCAATTTGAAATTTAAGTAATTGAAGAATTATCAAAGAGAATTGTAGTATTGAAAAAGCATGGTAGAAAATTTTAATTAAAGCTATTATTAATAACAAAGAGGGTTAATCTCGGTTAATTTAAACAAAATTAAAAGTTAAATCACAAGTCGCCTTTAACAAAATTATAAAATTAATTAATTTATATATACATAACTAAAATAAATTCTATTCGACTTTACTAAAACAATTGGAATTAGTTTACATTGAATAAACTATAAATAGTTTTATAAAGAAGTAATAATAGCTATACAAATAACAAATGTTCAGCATATAACTTAATAAGACTTAAATATAAAAAAATAATTACTTTGTCGACTACTATGAGATTTAATACATATTAAAAATTATTTAAAAAATATTTTTATCTACTAATTTATTCTTCATTTAATTTTTATACCAGTCTTAAATACATATTGTTACTAGTTTAAAAATTTTCACAGCTTCATAAAAGTAACTCCCCAGCTCTTTTTTCTAAGTATTTTAATTCCATTAAATTTATTATACAAATTAACTATAGATACTTTTTTTTACAAAAAATATTTTAATTTTTTACTCTTTAGTTCAAATTGTTTAAATCTGATTCTCAGAAATTATAATAATTAATTTTGTAATATCTTCAAAAATAATGGTTCAAAAGTTATTATTGACCAATAATTTTCTTAATTAGACCATTTTCCGATATTAGTTAAGTTTGAATGTTATAATTTAAAAAACCTAAGTTGATATAGATATAACGGGTATAAAATGGAGTATAGACAAAAATTTACAAGTATATAAAACCCTATACTTTTTTTGTGTTTTATATGTATTGCGTAAAGCATAGTTAATCAATCACCCTTTGTTGAGAATATTATTGATATCTACTACATCATATAATATTTAACCCAATTATTTTTATTAGTTCAGCAATAATTTTTCATCATGCATATTTTCTATTATAATGTGTAGTATACTACAGTACTATCTATCGGTGTTTTTATGAGATCAATATCACAGTAGTTACTTTCAGTCAGCCTAATAGATGTCTCTGTCACTTTAATTATTAACAAACATAATATATTTATAGGTATTGAAATAGGAAATTTTCCGATTTAATTGAGAGTATTATGTTAGTGTTAGATTTGTATTAATTAGTTTTAAATGTGTATTAGTGATTTTTTTGAACATAAGTTTGCAAAATTCTATGCTTTACCCTCATCCAATTCTTTTATTTAGCTATCTCAGTTTCAACGCAACAAATCAATAAAAGATTTAAGAACAGTTTCTTATTATTTTTCAAAAGTTTAAATTGTTGGACTTACGTAGTTTCTCATATCAGTAATACAATTATATACCAATATTAACGTCTATAAAAATAATTTATACAGTCTAACTGTATTTAAAATCATTTTAATTATTGTAGTATAAATTAAATATATAAATATAAATTGTTTAAATATATAATTAATTATTATAAACATTTCCAAGGTTGCTTCTATTCTGTATTATGGTTCTATTATTACTAATAACAAATTAAAGTAATTAGTTCATCTAATTTTATAAAAGTTAATTAAATTTTATTCAATAAGATTCATAAAAGATACAACAAAAGTTTACACTTTTTATTGCTGTTTGTTCGCTACAGTAAAGTTAGTTTATATTGAAAATGGCTGACTTTTTTGATTTGCTGTGCAAATTTTAGACAACAGCATTCATGTAAATTGTATTTTCAACGGTTCACGGTCTAACCATCTACTACTATTATGTTTATAGTTGAAATTTCAAATATTTAATAAAATTTTTATTATAATTTATTAAAGTTCAAGCTTCTAGATATTTCTCTAATTTTAGTAAATCAAAACTAAGAAAGGAAAGGGGAGGGGTGGATTAACAAGAATGGAAGTTTAAATTAAATAATACTAAAAAAACCTAGCACAGTGAGGTCGTGGCATAGTTGGGTCAAGCATAGATGATATCTGACAGTAATTAAAATCACTATCATAAAAAACGCTACTATGCAAATCTGTAGATAGTGTTTAATTAAAAAAAAATAATGGATTTAAAAGTGTAATATATGAATAAATAAATAAATATATATATAATTATATATATTAATGATATATAAATATAAATAGTACTTATCTCAAAAAAAANATATATATATAAAAGTGTCAGTATTTCCGAAACACTAACAAAAGTTAAGTTGAAAAATTTCAAGTATAGTGATATCTGACAGTGACTAAAATCACTATTGAAAAAAAAAACGCTTCGATATAAATCTTTAGATAGTGTTTAATTTAAAAAAATTGGTGGATTATTCCAAAAGCTACATAATCTGCTAGTTCCTTATTAATATTCTGATTAAGATAAAGTATGTCGAATGAAAGAGGGATATAAATATTATTTCTCATAAAAAAATTATATTGATCCATACATTTTTCAAAAAGTTATAGCGTTATAAAGTTAAAAATGTAAAATATAAAATCAAAAATTTTAACACAAAAATAGCATACGGTAGCTATTTTCACCGTGAAGACAAAATAAAATCAGAAATTTTTTTTTTCCATAATAAAGTATATTACATTAGCTTTAATTTAAGATATATATATATAAGTGTCAGTATTTCCGGAACACTTTCAAAAGTTAAGTTGAAAAAGTTGTCATTATGAATCCCCCCCTGTGGGCTGGTAAAGGGTTAAATTTATAAACAAAATATACCAAATAATAGGTAAAGTCATCAAGCTTCTATAAAAAAAATAATAATATTAATTTGTTCATTTTTGAAAAAGTTATGGCAGTTTTAATTTAAAAAAATTTTAAAAATTTCGAAAATTAGCAATTTTGAAATTTGTCATTTTTTTGGAGGTTTCCCCCATTTACGGGGAACGAGAGAAATTTTCTTAATTTTTTAGGGTAATATCTTCGACTAGATACGATTTGTGATCTTTAGACGTATCGTTGAAAGAAATCGGTTCGGTGAGAGCTGAGAAAAAGTGGTAACAGACACAAAAAAAAAAAACAAATCATAGTAAAATTAATACTTTCTCAGCTTCGCATCGAAGCTAAAATACGGCTCCGCATCCGTCACGTATATAAATTCGTATGTCATATAAAAAGGTGATAGCTAAATTATATTTTAATGAGTATTAATCATAACAAATTAACTAATATCACACTTAACCACGCAAATCAATATGCTACTCAGGCGACAGTGATTGATCAGCTGAATCACCAAGTAAAAAGACAGAATATTTCAGCTTCAATATTCAAGAAGAGAAAATAAATGCTAGCCAAGTCCCAACTACATGGGGTCGGCCATCCTTATCATCTACGCTTACATCAGCTGTCCTTATATGGCAATCAATAGCATCCCTCCATCTCTTTTTCGGTCTTCCTCTACATCTTCTTCCTTCAACATTTATTTCTATAACTATTCTTACAGCTTCCGATTCTTCTCTCCTCCTAACATGACCAAACCATCTAAGTCTATTTTCTTTCATCTTATCCACGATTGACGCTATACCTATACTCCCTCTTATATGCTCGTTCCTTATTCTATCTTTTCTAATCACTCCACTCATTCATCTAAGCATACTCATCTCTGCTACACTCATTCACTACTCTATTTTCTTGTGAATCGCAAAACATTCTGAACCATACATCATAGTAAAACTAATACCTTCTCAGCTACGCATCGAAGCTAAAATATAAAAAATTACCGATTTTTAAAATTGTAATTTTTTGGGGAATTTCCCCTTTTTACGGGAAGCGTGGGAACTTTGTTCAATTTTTGAGGTTAATGTCTTCGTCTACATATAATGTTTGATCTTTTGACGTATTGTTCATCAAAATCGGTCTAGGGAGAGCTGAGATTTAATGGCAATAGACACACAAAAAAAACACATCATAGTTAACATACCTTACATACCTTCACATCGAAGCTAAAAGCTAAAATTTAATCAACATACAGTATTATAGACTACAAAATTATCTAATAATCTATTCAATTTTGAGTATTTGTTGGAATGTTTTTATGATTTAATAAGGCTAATATTTTTATCATACAATTATATAGGAAAAAATATTTGATAAGATCTCATTCTAATTATTTTTCAAGTATTTTCATTATTATATAAATAAAATATTAATTATGATAATACGTATTAAGTAGTTTAATTATTAATAAATCTATTATTAATATTTCTTTATTAATTATTATTAATTAAAATAATTATAGTAATAAATAAAGAAATTATAATAACTCAATGAATTGAAACTTATTTAAGAGGAAATTTCATTTTGTGTTTTATTCACTGCAAAAATAAATACTTATGTAAAGTTATCTATCTAAAAATTCATAAAATATCATTTTTATTGGTCCTTGAGGAATAACTTCCAACCGGTAATAGAAAGTGTACCGGAAATCGCGTGGAAAAAGAGACAAGGTACGGGAATAGAACCCTCCACCCAATGCGTTATAGTGGCAAACCTTATCCACAAGCCACCATTCACTTATGGCTCAGATCCCAATACAATTTGATTTAGGTTGATAACGTGATGTACACCTGTGGGAAAACGGGTTTGTGTCAAGCCTAAGCGATCTATCAAAATGAATCCTTTAACGTAAGTATAATTTTTTGATTTTTTTTTTTAATTTATTTTATTATGCTAGAATATGTAAATAATAATAGTAACACTTCAGTGGGTATACTTATGTAAAGAAACCGAATTAATATAATTTGGTAGAAGGTATGCATAATGGACCTATAGGTCTGAGTTCCTGCTCACCTCTATAAAAACTAAAACTAAACTTCTTCTGTATTATCAATCTAATGATTGGTTTGCAGCAATTTCCATGTTACTCTATCACTAGTCTTCCTTTTCAACTCTTGATATGAATTATATTTTTGATTTTCTATTATCTGACTTATTTATTACAATCTTGGTTTGTGTTGCAAAACTAAACTAGAATATGTAAAAAGTTTTTAGTGTAAACTTAAAGTTAAAATGTTGACCAAAAAAAGGTCGAAAATCTTAGTTAATATACTTACAAAAATAAAAATATAATATAATATTATACTATTTCTTAGTAGTGTATAACTATACAAATGTTAACCTTTATATCTATTATTAATATTTCTTATGGTATACATAAATTTAATGTTTAACTTTGCTAATGGGTGTGTGTATGTTATATTCTGCAGTGTAATCAGAAAACCAACTTAAAACTTAAACACCTTTCATAAGTGATTGGTGACCCAACATTCCTTACAATGAGGTAGCCATGAGGGTGACGCCTCTGCAATCTGTTGCGTGTCTCAAGTCGTCATCTCTTAAGTGTAATTATAATATAATATAATAGTATACATAAACACTATCATCTGTGGTTGACTAGTGAATATTAACTATTATATTCTGAATCAGCATTAAAAACTTAACTAAAAAAACCTATTGTTTATACAAATTTTTTTATTGCAGTAATATGAGAAATGTTAAAAGTTGAGTGCCTAAGAATTATTGACATAATTCTAGTGCTTGGATTTTTGTTATAAGTTTACCTTGCAACATTTCTGAAGGTGATATTATGGCAATTTTCTTACAGTAATTATTGATTTGATAAATATTACATGAAGAAACACATTTAAGTTTAAGGATTATAATCTTTGACACTACAAAAGTATTGTATTTCATTATATTAAATATAATAATAATTCTATCAGATTTCATTGAATTGAAAAGTTGCCTAGATAATATTAAGGTATTTTTTAATTGAAAATATTTGATTCTATTAATAGTTTTTAAAATGTATAATTATTATTTTTTAATAAAATTAATATTGTACATAAGAAGAATAGTATTATTAATAGTAGTAATATTAATAGTATTAATAAATGCTTTCCTTTTTTTATCATTATTTTTTTCCCCTAAAATTTTTTACAGAGAGACCTTAAATGCGTTTTTTACAAATTTTAAATAAATAATAGAAAATTATTTAAATGTCTATAGCTAATTTTTTTTAATTATTAAATTAAATTAAATTATTTAAAAAAATAATTAACAAAATAATAATTAAAACAAAAGAAAGTTTTCTCATATATGACTATGCCATTATTGTCAAAACTAGATAGTTATACTCTTAATATAATTGAATTATTGAAGGGTACCATAGAAAAATAGTAATATTATATATATTTTTTTATTTTGATTGTATTGTTTGGTTTTTATAGACTACTAGCAGTAGTATTAAGTAATGAATATATTGAAAAATATTGTATTTTTTCTAATATTCAATATATATTTTTATTTTATCATTTAAAAAATAGGAATTTATAATATTATTTTTTCTCTTCTAGAAAATCTACAGAAATGAACTATTACTGTTTTGCTTAATACTATAATAATTTAATTAATCACTGGCCTCCATACATGAAAAAAAGTACAAACAATAAAATGATATTAAACTCACTAAAATGTAAGTGCAACATTTATTTTTAAATAAATAATTTTCATTATTATTCTAAATATTCTTTTTTATTATTCTTGTTTGTCTTCTATACATTTAGTATTTTCTTAATTTGTTAATAAATATAGAATTTTTTTCCCTTTTTAAAATAGGTTTGTTTTGTGACTATTTGTATATGTAATCAAGTTCCAAAGTTGATTCAAGTAAATCTACCTTAGGTGACTGCAACATTGTACTACTAATATAAATCTGCGATTTGGCTGGCAGTAGTTTCTCTTTATGTAATGATGCTAATAATCCCTATAATTAAACTTAATCATCAAAATTAAGCCCCTTGCTTCTGCTTCAAGATATCTTTATTATTTTCTTCTACTTCTTTTAGAGATTCCATTTCAGAAGGATCTATACTTATTTTTCAAATTAAATATATTTTTTAATAATTAAATGTTACAAAACATAAAAAATAAATATTATATATAGATTAAAACGGTACCGTGTTTCCCTCAGCCGCACATCACGATATCAACCTAAATGAAAGTGTATCGGGATCTGAATCATAATTGCACGGTGGCCTAGTGGTAAGGTTTATCTATACAACGTCTTGGGTCGCGGGTTCTAATCCCGTACCATGCCTCTTTTTTTCACATGATTTCCGGTACATTTTCTATAACCGGCCGTCAATCCCCGGCAGCCATGTTAAGATTAATATATAGAAAAATAAAAATGTTTTTATTTATCATCAAAATTTCCATTTATTCTTAAATTTTTGGGCCAGCCTTAAATTAATATTTAGAAAAATAACACAAATTTGATTTAAATTTCCATAAATTTATATCTATAATGATGGTAACATTGTTTTCAAAATTCATATTTGCGATTTTATAGTAATTTTTTATGGTTTTTTGAGTAAAATATTTTTATAATTTTTAGTTTTAAATTAATATTTTAAATATATTTTTTAATTTTAAATATATATAATAGCGTTTCATTCCATTTTCTTTTGCCATTAGGTTTGTTATCATCTAAGACTGTCGTCGGTTAAATGAAGCCATTTACTCCTGAAATGTTCAACTACCAATATAAAAAAATATTTATTAGAAAACACCAAATCACAAAATTTAATGTTGGCGAAATTTTGAATTTTTAACATTTGTAATTTAATTCTAATCACAGTTTTAAATTTCTATTAACTGCAATGAGGAAAATTAATAAACACAACGCCTATCGAACAACTGATAAAATAAAAACATAGGCTCTATAATTTATAAGTTAGTGTGAGATAGAATATCATACTTAACTTATCAGTTAGAGTAATAGATACGGAGTGTTTTACAAATCATATATTCCCGATTCTTTCGCGCTCCAGATAACTACAACTGACTGTCATAAAAATAATATATTAAACTAAGATTGTTACAAAATGTTTTTAAAAAGAAAAAATTTAAAAATGAATCAACTTACAGACTTATAGACTGCGAAAGTATTTATTTCATGTTTGAAATGTTTTTATGATTTAATAAGGTTAAAAATTTATATCACACAATTAGATAGGGAAAATACGGTTGCATAGTGGGGACTTTTTCTATCACTTATAAAAAAATAATTAAAACAAAAAAATATTATTTTCAAATAATAACTGATTTTGATTTTTAATATTCTAAATAGTCTATGGTGATAGAATCAAGAAAAATAAAGTTAATCGGACACATCTTCCAAACAATGACTTTATAACTAACATCTACGAATGAAAAATAACTGGGAAGAAACTAAGAGAACGCCCATGGGAATAATATTTTGAAAATATTTGAACTCATAATTAAAAATTATGAACTCGTTTGTTTCACATTATTCATCATTAATCATTATTCAAAAGCAAAATTGTAAATCTAAAAGAATTAAGAAAAAATGATAATATAAAATGATAATACCAAGATTTAACACGAAAATAGCATATTATTGAATATTATTAAATAATCATATTCACTATATCTTGAATATATACTACTGAACTATATAGTGAATAATATAAGCTTAAATTTAAGATAAAATAAAAGTGTCGATATAAGTTAAATATTTTCAACTCAATTTTTGAAAATATTGCGGATATATTAACACTTTTATAATGAGGTACACTGATTTTCATGAATATTATATAAAACTAATTGACATAGATTATTAAGTTAAACTTATTTAAATTTTTTTTTTTAAGTCAAAATAATTAATTTTAACATTTGAATCAGCTTAAATTGCCTGTGGCAATGATTTTTTTTGCAGTTTTTAAATTAAATTCTTAAAATTAAACACTATCTACATATTTGCATTAAAGTGTCCCTTATGATATGATAGTGATTTTAATCACTATCATATATCATCTATACTTGTCTCAACAATGTCACGTCCCCAATGTGCTGAGTTTTTTTTTTTTTTTGTTACCAATGTTTGGTGCATCAGGAAATACTAACAATACTCTATGAACACAATTTTTATCGTTCTAATTTACATGTATATGCACTAACTTTCCAAATAATAGAATATGACAGAAAAATAAATAGCATTTCAATGTTTAAATTTTGTTGAAGTAATTAATTATTTAAGTTGAGAATATTTTTCTGCTCTTCCAATTTTATTTATAACAATAACGAGTTTTATCTTTATTTTAAGAAATTGGTGATGAGCATTATAACTATAAACTATGATATTGGGTAAAATATTCTTTGTTTTGTGTTACATTAATATCATTTTATTTTAAACATCTGTTCTTCAGAAAATATTCTATAATAATAATACATAAAATAAATAAAAATATCTATAATTAACTAGTACAAACATTTAAATTATTTATTAAACGTTGAAAGTTTGAATTTTCCAGTGAATTAACAGTTATGAAATTGTATCAGAAATTGTAATATTGTAGGACTTCATTTAGATATTTTTTATGTTATAAAAAACTTCTAGCTACAACTTGTTACAATCAATTTTTTGTAGTTGAAAACTCAAAGGTGTTGTTAATCTATACAAGATATACTATTATTATTATAATATATTAAGTATATTATTGTAGAGTTTTTTAGTCAAATAATTACTTTTTTCACTTAAATTTTCAATTGTTTCCAAGAAAATGAGTGTTTTATATCTAATTGATTACACTGTATAATAATGTGAAGATTATTTTCAGGATCGACCCAATAACATACGGTAGTGTTGAGGGGTTTTAAAACATTTATTCTTGCTGATTGAATAATTTTTATGAAATTTTGCGACTCTTTTTAAAAATTATTTTTTTGGCCCATCCGCTTATAATCAAAAATAATCATGTAAAACGATTCATTTTTGCTAAGTATTATGGTGTCACACTCTCATGCTACTCAAAGGTCTGATCCTGGTGATTTTTGGAAGGCGTAGTAAAAAAATTTTTTAAGTATATTTCATTTTAACAAAATCCATTAAACACCCTAAGCTTATGATAAATTAGTTTTTATCAACTTTGACCAAAACTTTTATTTTGAATAGCCGCAACTTAATTTTAAGTAAGAAAATAATAATCCAAACCTGTACATCAAAATAACTATTTACGAAATCTGAACTTAACTCAATAGCCCTAACTAATAAAAAAATTTGATGCTATCCTTACTACAGAGTGATTTTGTTGTAAGGACTACATTTTAATATTTTAAAAATATTAAAGAATTTATTTTTGTACACTTTAGCTAAATTTAGTCGTTTCTCATACATTACACGAGTAAAATTAATCAAAAAATTTCTTTTATGGAATAACTTATATTATATGCTTGATTATTTCACTTTTTTTTTTATAAAGGAAACAAAAATAGTTTTTACAAGTATAAATACATTCTTGATGTTAAAGATATAAATTCTACCTACAACAAAAATATACGCCAACAAATTAAAAATTAGACGGACAGGGTGTACCTGGTTCTCCATTATAACTCGAAATCAAACTTCCTTAAGATTACTAAGTTTATGTTTGATAATTAATATAGTAATATCACTAATTAATTAGTCATTATTTTTTTTTTACAAATCTACTGAAGAAAATACGATGATATTTTTTGATACTATGCCCGACGTAAGACAATAGTAAACGAATACTAATCGAACAGCTTAGTCCGCAAGATTATATTTACAGCGAAACCACTCACAATCGCGGCGTTTTCTGTTGGATATAAAAATAGTACTAAAAATCGCGTTGTATGTAAAGATAAAAGGTAGGGGAAATTGTCGTTGATTACGTGTGAATTGAGACTTGACGGTCATGTTAATTTAAAACACAAAAGCAATAATTTCTCCTAATAATAATTAGATTAGATAATTGAAGCTTCTTAACGGAGTTTTTATTTGGGAAGGTAGTTTGTCTAAATGACGAGTTCGATATAACATATTAATTTGTTTTTAAACATAGTTATTGTTAGGATATCAGATACAAATTAATCAATAAGAAATGAAAATTTGTATAAACAATAATAAACTTAAATGGTTAAATTATAAAATTTATGTACTTATAGATGTAACACAACTAAAAAACATACATACAAAATAATATTAATCATTAATCGTATAAACATCGTATATTAGAATAAGCTTGTGATAAAATAGAATAGTTTGTAGATTATTCTTAATTAACCGAATAATAATAATATTTGTACATTTTATCGACTGATATATTGAGAAAAATATATAACTAAAAGAAACTAATAAAAAATTTGTGTAATACTACTAATAAGTCTATAAGGAGCTCAAATAATAAAGTGCTAAGACATAGATTTTTAATATATAGTAAATAAATAAATGTATATTACGTTTTAATAAATTAATTATACATAATGATCGCCAGTACTCCACTCACACACGATAGAAGGTCAACTAACTTGCTTTAACATCCATTCGGATAACACAACGGTCGATCACCAGTATAATAGCAACGATAAGTTGACCCCCACTATATAAACTATACATCACATTTGTTAATATTATTTTTATTTTCGATTATTTTGGAGTGCTCAATGATAATTATTTATAAAAGTATATACACATGTATTAATATATATAACTAGATGACTATTATAGACTTTTATTTCATTTATTGTATTGTTTTCTTTATTTATTAACGAATTATCATTTGAAGTTTATTTGCAAAAGTCAAGTGATTTGAGATCAATTTGCTAGTAAAATTTCGTTGTTTAAAACCAAAGAAGTTTTGATTTTTCTTTTTTGTCACATTAACTAGTCTTAGTATTATCCGACCCACACATGGGCGTCCATTGTGGAGAGGTCGGGAAGACATGCCTTTTCTTGGAAAATAATAATTAAGTGACAATAGCCTTAGTAATAATTCATTACTATGGTTAAACCGTTAACACTTGTTTTCGATTCCCAATAATCTAATATCCGATAAAACGATATTTACTGTCGAAATTAAACCGATTATTAAATATTTTAATAAATAAATTTAAGAACAATATATCACAGCTCGGCACAATAACCGAACAGAACCTTCAGAATACATCATTTGATATATTTATAGCCCTTACAGCCCACTATGCACGTCCATTTTTTCAAACAATTTACAATGTTATAATAAATTACAACATCTTATTCTGAAAATACTTTAAATTAAAGAAATTCTTATTAATTTATCTAAACATAAATGTAAGTAAATGCTCAAGAAATTTAAATAAATCTATTGAAAACAAAAATTAATTAAAAATATAGCATAAATTTTATAACAATAAAACAGTTATAAAAATTTGTAATTATTCATAGTTTGTGAACAAATGAATGATCAATCCGAAATTAATTAATATGTAGATTATTGTGAAATAAATAATGCTTCAGAAATATTTGTAAAATCATTAAATAGAAACAATTTCTAAGATTTTTCTTGTGTTGGATCGACTTAAATTTTACCACTCAGTCCTATTGTTACGAACCCGTATTGTTATGATATTAGTGTAGTGGGGTTAGGGAATAATTAGTATTAGACAACGAATAAGCAGTAATGAATCGCGTTCGAACCGTTGTATAAATATATTGTGTTATAAGTTGTAAGTGATTCACCTAAAGACAACTAATGCTATAGTTAGAAATAATTGTATTTCTAAAATTAAAGATCCGTTGTATAAATATATTGTGTTATAACTCTGTACTTTTTTTCACATTACAACGACATCCAGTCCAACACTTTGCCGTGTCTCATCCTAGGTCGGTCGCAACATTAGTGAATTTTTTTTTATAATTGTCTCCTTTTTCAGCCATAAAATGTTATATTAACTCCTTCTATAATGTAGTACAAACCTGTTTTTAATAAATCACATGCATAATTGTTGATGAATTAACAGGTATAATGGCATAGTTCAAAAAATGTCATGACTAAAATTGAAATTTCTTCTAGTTCATAAGTGTCTCTGGCTTGGAAGACTTTGTTTTCTATTTTTATATTTACTAAGATAATGCCATAACGTTATTTTCATTTTATTACTCATGTATTCTTTACAGTCAAACCCCAGTAAAAACATATTAAAAACTATTATATACATATTCATATTGTATAATCAGTAAAGAAGTAAAAAAAGTGTTAATACATTTAATAACATTAGTATTTTTATAAATTCTCAGACACAGAAAGGTTTTATTGATATTTTAGAAAATCATATGCTCTGTTAAAACTCAAATAAATTAATGATATGCATAATATACCCATACGCCTTAAATAAGCAAAAGCATACATATTCTCAGTTTATTATTGTTTTTACAAAACGGTTTTGTAGTATGTTTTCCTATGAAGAAAAAAAACATTCAAATGCATGAAGATACGAGCCCTGGTTATTACCATTATGTAGACAATAAAACTTTTAATCGGGTTAATAAATAAAGTTGTTTAAAATTCATTGTTATTTTACTTTGGATGGAGACTAGAAATCAAATGTACAATTATAACTATTGATCACATACTTTTAAAGAATACCAGAGAATAAAGATCATTTAAAAAAACCCCCAAAAAAAAGTTTGTGGTAAAAAAAGAGATATATAAATAATAGTGTAAAATGGTAAAAATTTAATTCAATTTAATTATTCACAGAAATGTATGTAAATAATGAACTTAATACGTAACTGAGATACTTTGGTATTACTATGTCCTGTTTTTTTTTGTCAGTATACATCAATACTCTCACTTTATGATTTTGCTTAACGATACGCCAAAACATCACAAAACTCGTCTAATTGAAACTCTTCAAATTTATTCCTAAAAATAAAAACAAATGTGTCAACAAATTAAAATTGTCAGAGATCAATTAACATTAATATGTTTAGTTTTCACTTCATTTTGAAATAACTTTTTGAAAAATGAACAGATTATTGCTAAATTTTATTAATTATATTTCAAACATGAATCTATCTGACGACAGGCGTTTTTAAAAAATTCAATTGCTAACTAAGGTATTATGTAAGCTTAAAAATCATGTAAATTTTTTGTTTTCAGTTTTTTATACTACTCTAAATAATTTACCTTCTTCAAACCCATATAAAATGAAAGCTAATATAATGTACTTTAAGGTGAAAAAAGAAAAACAATCCGAAATTTCAATTTCTTGAAGTCAATGAGCATAAATCAAAAAACCATTTAGTTTTTAGTAAAATCAGTTGATTTTCTAATATTTTGCATAGTAACATAATGCTTATTACATTCTGAATTATTTCAAATTAAAGCTTGATTAATGTAATATATGATAAAAAAAGCATTCTGATAACTTATTTTCTATGAGTAATCCATCTTTTAAGTCAAAGAACATGTAATTTTTGGTAGATATAATACATTTTCGAAAAACTCATTTAAAGATAAATCGAGTGGCTAGCGTTAAAGAAGTCACCCTGGATAACACGTAAAGTATAATAAAATTGAAATAAAATCTAAAATAAAATATAAATTTAATATACTTATATATATATGTGTGTATTTAAAGAATTAAGGAATGGCAAAGTTATTGCAAAACGTTTTGAAAACGTTGATAATACATGAAATGGATGGATCATGGAAGATGATGTTAAAAGAAGGAAGGGACATATGTGGTGAAGAGACTAACCTATTAGTGGGGACGTTTTTCGAGTGGCGATCGCGTATTTAAAATAAGCACATACAAACACACGTCCCGGAGAGTTCGCTCGTGTTGGAACGCGCCAAAAAAGCTCGCCGCCGCCGCTAGTGATCGCCAGTGCGCTTTTGCGTGTGCGGTGCTGTTGTTGCTGCAGCGCGTACGTCGGTGGTTGTGCAACCGCGTTTTTCCTTTACATCATCTCAGTTGCCGAACGCGCGAGCGCCGCTCAGTTTTCTGTCTGCCCTTATCTCTGTTCAACCTTTCTTCCTATTTTCGTTATCAAACTATCTTCTATCCGGTCAACTTATCCGATTTAATCATTTTTTTCGATGATAATACGACGATGATTGGCGGCCGGTCGGACAAACCGAAAAAGATTCCGAACCGTGTCCGCCTCTTACTCAAAGCCGGCGTTAAATTTCGGTAACAAAATAGATACATTTAAGTGTTTTTTTTTTTTGTTTCTCAAGACTATTGCATATTGGATCTACTGGCCTTATGCCAAAAAGCATCGACCATGTTGTAGCTACACTAAAAGTAAGTACGTGCAAAACCTACTAATGACATCATGAATTTTGTGTACCATGTGTATAATAATTAGCTAAATAACTGAATGGGAATATAGATGTCGTACATTAGTAATTGAATTTTAAATTAAAAATTTTAATTGTATGATATGGAGCTGTACGTTTGAACGTCAATACTTACAACAGTATGCATTTTTAGACGAACGTGCCTCCCCTTTCCGCTCCCTGCACCGGCCATCGCAGCTTCATTCACTCACACATATGCACACAAAATAATATAAATATATATAATGCGGTAGTAGTAGCAGCAGCAGCCGTTAGAAATACCATTACGGTGGCTGGCCGCTCCGGTTTCATTAACTTTTGGCATTATTTCATATATACACGAAAAGAAAATTAAAAATGGAGAGAGAGAAGAGACAGAGATAGAAATAAGATGTAAAGTCGTACATATTTTTTCCGTCACAAATGCGTGTACCGAATTTTTAAACGGATTTATTTATTAACATTGAAAGCTTATTTTATTGTAATACGTTTGTCTTTTCTAATTGCATACGATTATCAAATTTAACTGTTTACTATATTACTCGGTGATTTAGGTTTGTTACTGAAGTTGGCGGTAACAGTTTTGAAAAATACCGTGAAAAATTATTTTCGGTTTGACCGTAAACATTTTTTGTATTGGAACGTCGAATCTATATTTATTTAATATAAACCCTGCTATGTATTAATAAAATTATGCTGTAATCTAACAACAGAAAATAACTTGGAAGTGCATCGAAAATATACAGAATTTATCTAGAAAATTTTAGTGTTTGTTATAAAAAGTATTTATTTGTTGATAAAAATATTACTTGACACACGCGAGAGTAAAAAATTATTTATACAAAATAATTATTGTCATATACCAACTTACTTTTAATATTAGTGAAAATAAAGATACTTTTTAGTTCAGAGTTAATAAATTTGATCAATTTGCTAGGAAAATAGATTAATTTTTAGAATAATGTGATTTTTGAGCAAGTTTTTTTTATTGTTAAATGAATTCATTTTTAATTTCACAGAATTAATCTTTAAAATAGGCTTATTTTGTTCTTAAGATTTTTCTTTTGTTTTCTGAATAACAATACGATTTGTCTCACTGTATTCATAGTGGTTACCGTCAGGTTAAGTAATAGCGTGTATTTTCAGATTTGACCTAATTCTCTGCACGGTAATCTCAAATTTGTCAGACATTTTGTTTTGTAGTGCAAGCACAATTTGTGTTGAATAAACAAATTAATGACGTTCTATTCTATTACTTCTCTTTGAGGATGACGTGGATTATAATAATAGCCCTTAATCGAATCATCATTCGACGGGCATAATTAATAAAAGCTATTAAGAATTTTATAACTTATGAATGACTATGATATTTTTTATATTGTCATTGACAGGGGCGCAACCAGAGGAATTTCGGGTTAAACCCCTAAATTCCTATAATATATATATATATATATATATTATTTCTATGTACATACATTGTTAAAACTACACTAACTTTTTATTGTTAAAAATCGAAAAATTTTAGTATTTCTATAAAAGTTAAAAAAAAAAAACAATTCCGGAAACATTTTCTCGATTTTATTGTTTGATATATTCAATGTAATTTAACGTTATCATTCCCAAATACGTTTGGAATTGAACTAATTTTTTATGTGTGTAAATATAAAAAAATTAATAGTAAAAATTACTAAAATTGTTTTTTTGTCATCGTATTTCTATTACAATTTTATGAGTTACCTCGTGAATATATTTAAATTATTGATGAATTTTTAAAGATAGGCTATACCCTATTTGAACCTTTATATATATCCTTTACACATACAATTAAAGTATTATATGACTTAAAATTGTAAGCGTAGGCTTAGTGGAATTAACTTCAAGTTCAGAAATTAGCTACCTGAATATATTAAAAATCATATATATTGTTACATAATAAAAAATTTAGAAAAGAGAAGAAATATGTAGTCGATGAATAAAAAATAAAAACTAAAAAAATGATTATGTCATTATTTTTTTGTAGATTGAGGTATTTTCTGTAAATCAATTAATTTTCTTGTGTTAATTACAGATAATAACCGACTGCAAGTCAACTGTAGGACTTTTATTCGCGTATTTTATAACAAATGGAGTGTAATTGGAAATTAAACGTATGTAATACTGATGTAAATAAATTTCTAAGTATGCAGTGACTAATTGATCACAATTCACTTAAGTATTTGCCGGGTTAGATATAGTAGACTTAAATTACGTGTGTAAAAAAAAAAACGTCAAAAATATGCTCTGGCCAAATGAAGGTTATATGGTGTTTAAATTATTATATAATACAAACTATATGAACCTTATCCCACAAATGAAAATCATAAAATAACTCAAGACAAACGATTATGAGGTTTTGTTTTGATTTATATGTTTGAGGACAAGTCCGAGTCTCATCCAAATTCATCAAACGATTATTTGATTATATTAATATTATTACTACCATTATAATTGCACTACTCAAACTTAGCTATAATAAATAGTGCCACCTCGGTGGACAATATTTAGCCACTTAAGAAGAGTAGTTTGCCAACTTTTAATTTTATAAAATCCCCTCCTATACGCCGGAAACTTTAAATGTCAATGGCTTGTAAAATGTTCGTTTGGAAACTGGATCAAGATTTGTGAAATATTATTTATAAAAATTAGTGGCACAACGTTGCCACTACAATACTTGAAAAAAAAACTTTATGTTTGACAAACGGAACCGGCTTGTCATTGTGCTAGTTTGTAAACGGCTATTTCAAATTTAATTATTATTAACTTTATAAATTTATAAGTATAATTATTTAAACTAAATAGATAGGGTCGGCATTTTTCTTACTTTAATTAAATTATGTACATAAATGATTCTTTTCTTCTCGAATATAAGTAATTATTAATAATAATAATAATAATAATTTTATTATTATTATTATAATAATAATAATAAAAAAAAAAAAAAAGAAAAATTCAAAAGTTGTTATCAATACAATTCTTGATCTTAATTACTTAAAAAACACAAAATTTTATAAGATAATATATAGTAAATGCATCATTCTGTATACACACATAATATTAATTTATAGTTTTTATACTTAAATTAAATTTATAGTTTTTATACTTAAATTAAATTTATAGTTTTTATACTTAAATTAAATTTTAATTAAATGTTAATGGATTCTATCTCGAGTTTACTTGTAGTTTATTGAGATGAAATTATTTTAGTTAAAAACAATTAGTAGAGTTTCATTATCTTTATATTAATTATTATACACATTAAAAAAATTAATTTAATGGAAAGTAATAGTTTTCATCAAATTTTTTCTCCTAGTAGCTGTTTTATTGGAGAAAGGATCTCATAATATAAAAATTATAGCTCATAATTAAAAGTTTAATGACTAAGTAATTATATTAATTTAAATATTCATATCAAAAATTTTAACAAGGCGTTTACTAATTCTTTATGAACTGTAAAGTTGTATGTTTGTGTAGTTTCTTTTTAATATTGCCATTGTAGCTAAAATTTCGATTTTTACATAAGTGGATATTCAAAAATACTTATTTATTTAGTTTTAAAACCAATAAGATTTTTTGTTTTCATTTGTTTGTTCATAATCACGCCATTCTTTTTGGAAAACTCGATACACTAATATTAACGATAATAGAATTTTAAAAGAGTTATCGAAATTAAAAATATATGCGTGGACAATAATATCGCTTAAAATCAATATTTCAATTTATTTAATCAATAAATCATACTTAAACAATGAAAGTTTGACCATTTGTATTATTCTGTCAGTAAAACAAAATTTTAAAAATCTCCAAAAAAATTACAAATTTAAAAATCGCTAATTTTCGATATTTTTTAAATTTTTTTTACTTAAAATTGTCATAACTTTTTTAAAAATGACCAAATCAATGTAATTTTATATTATAGATACATGATGTCTTTACCTATCATTTGGTAATTTTTTTTATAAATCTGACCCTCTACCTGCCCACAAGGGGGATTTAAAATGACAACTTTTTCACAAAAAATTAACTTTTTAAACTTAACTTTTGAATGTGTTCTAGAAACTCTGACACTTTTATGTATATCTTATATTAAAGATAATCTAATATACTTTATTATGGAAAAAAAAAATGTTTGACTTTATTTTGTCTTCACTGTGAAAATAGTTACCAAATGTTATTTTTGTGTGAAAATTCTCGATTTTATATTTTACATTTTTAACTTTATTATGCTATAATTTATTGAAAAGTGTATGGATCAATACAATTTTTTTATGAGAAATACTATTTATATCCCTCTTTCATTCGACATACTTTATCTTAATCAGGATATAAATAAGGAAATAGCAGATCATATAGCTTTTGGAATAATCAACTAATTTTTTAAAATTAAACACTATCTAAAGATTTATAACGAAGCGTTTTTTATGATAGTGATTTTAATCACTGTCAGATATCATTATACTTGACCCAACTATGCCACGTTACCACTTTTTTTTTTTTTAAAGCATGGTAACTAATAAATTTAAAGTCTAAAATTAATTAGTGAATAGTTAAATCTGAAAATATAGATTAATTTACCAGTAGTTTACCAAACAGTTAGTAGACTATATAAATATATGAAACATTACTTTTAAGGATGTTACCATTGTAAATATTTTTTTATGAAGGCGTTATTTAACAGGAAACCTTTAAATAAAAGTAATGAGCATTTATACTTTGAATAAGGCGTTTCACTTAAATGTGTATACATTATCCTCTAAAGTAGGTTCAGTGCTATGGATGACAATTTAATCTTATATTAATAAATTCATTTATCATGCTTATCTAATTATTTGACGATCTGCAAATAGTTAGGTATAAAATAACGTAGTTAAATAGAGATGATATTGCAACGTATTACGTATTTGTGTGATAAAATTAAAATTATTCTAATAACTTTTTAAAGAAGATTTTAACTCTCTAGTCCACTAATGTTATTGAATTTTTTTTAATGAATATTATGCTTACTACATTTTGCTACCATTTAAATATAATTAAGTGTTTGGCTATATTATGTATTAAACAAACTAAAACAGTACAAAATTATTTTGTGAATAAATAATTGTAATGCATCAAAGAGCATGTTTGTATTGATAGATAGTATGTACTAGATGGCGATTGTAAGTTATGGTGACTTTTAATACTTTTGGCGAGTAAGGAAGTTTAATTATTCAATGCAAGTCTTATCGAATTTCATAGACGGCGAAGAAAAATCCATTTATATGATTACTTTTAGCTATTTTTTTATTTTGATACGAATGCTTTTACACTAAATATATAAAATACATTATTCGCTTGTAACTTAGAAAATAATGCGAGTGAAATATCAACGTGTTATTTTGTTATATTTATGAAAATAGATAATTTGTTCACATACAAATGTGCTATTTTTAATGAACAATGTAATATTAGACGACACGAAAATTAGGCATAGAAATATTTTTAAGCCAAAAAAAATTTAACCTCATATTAGGTTATTGAATGATTTACCATATTATTTAATAGTCGAAAAATGTAAACCCTACAAATTTAATGAATTGTAATTTTTTAATTATATATTTTTAAAACATATTAGCCCGATATAATTTAAAACAATATTTGACGTCTATATTTTTAGACAACGTTATTGATTCTTTTGCCTGTTTCATACAAGCTTAATTGTTTTTAAAAAAATTGGCATAGGGTAAAGTGAACGAATCGTGAAATTTTTTTTTTTTTTTAATTACTTTATTCAATTCTAAAAAAGAATTTTCACAAATCTTATTCTTATATGACTATTGAACGTTTAAAGAAAAAAGTCTTATTTTATCTGAAAACATTAAAATTTATGTTAAGGTGCTTGTCATGCAAATTTGGAGTAATCCACTTTAGTAACTAATGTCTTTATTGTATTTTTATACTGCGAAACTAATATTTTTCCATACATCCCTATAACATTAATCTTATCCAACATTGTTTTAAACATTAAAGGACTATTAATATTTTATACATTTATTTTTCCTTCAGGTTATTATTTTGGTGGAAATTGAAATATCTTACTATAAATTTTCATGAAATATTTCAAATATATATACAAACACAAAAAATTTTCAATTCAAGCTTAAATATTTCATCACTGGTCACTATTATTGTCTATTGATAAAAACAAAAAGCTATATTTTAATCTATATATACAGAGTGAAAAAATTTCACGTTGATTTAACTTGGTGTTAATATTCATCAACTTTTTTTCACAACTATTATTATAAGTTTAATAATAAGGGTAATAAGTTTAATATTTACAACAATATGGCCTTGATCAAAAAATTATCTCTACAAAAACCTAATATTTTAAAAGCTAAAATTAAGTTTTCAGCTGTCAATGAATAGAAGAAATATACCTATGAATCATATAATGTGATTTGTCACTATAATAACTAACTACTTTGTTTTACATATTAAGCTTTTCAACAAAATTTCTTCTGAATCCTCTAAAATTTTTCCTAAACATTTTTTTCTCGAATTCATGCATATGCATTTGGTGTCTGTAATTATTTTTCAATGCAAATAATAACTGACTTTTTACCATTTGCTTTATACCTTCTTCTCTCAATCTAAGGGAGTAAATTACATGAAAATGGGTTCACATTATGTTTTATTAAAGTCATTCAACTGTTAATAAAAATTCAATAAAATTGTAATTTACCTTAAAATATTATTGGAGCTATCGATTGGCATATGACAAACGTCATTCTTCAACGTGGTGACCGTTTTGTTTACATTCGAAACTGACACTTGCCTACGGTCATCCTCAAATTTTCATGACACGGAAACTACACATTAATGTTCATCACGATAAAAGTAGTTTGTAATAATAATAAATTACACTTTCAATTAAATTTATTATTACTTTATAAATGTAACATTTTACAAAATGTTTCAATCAATATGAACAACTTGGACTATAAGGAAATGCAAGGTTTTAGTTATTATAGAAAAAATGTAGGCGAGAAATTTAAGCACATTTAGTGTTTTTTATATAGAAATTTTAATAACTATATACAGTGTGATTTTTTAAGAATGATTCCCCTTATTTATAGGAAAAATGGGAGGAATAATTCTTAAGAGATCAGACCGTAGATCGAAAGATATTTATTAAGCGTGTAACTATTTAAAATCCCTAAAATTCAAAGGTCAGTAAACTAATAGCTGAAAATTTCAAACATTTAGATTACCACATACGAGTGTATGGGCAATCGGTGATGAACCGTCCACCCTGTTTGACGATATAATGCAAACAGGCATACCGATAACACCGACATTCGGCCAACAACACTCGAACAACTCGCCAGCTTCAACGGGTGCTACTGGCACAGCTATTACAAATAAAATACTAATTAATGGTGGCCGGTTTGATTTCGACGATGGTGGCACCTATTGCGGTGGATGGGAGGATGGGAAGGCTCATGGTCATGGTGTATGCACCGGGCCCAAAGGACAAGGAGCATACTCTGGATCGTGGCACTATGGATTCGAAGTGTCGGGCGTTTATATGTGGCCAAGGTTAGTATAAATATGTATTATATAAATTTGATATTCTAATAACTATATATATATATATATATATATGTATAAATATATTACACATATAGAATATTAAACTCCAAAACTATATGATAGTGTTTGAAAAACGTTCTAAGTTTTAGTATAAAGAAAATGATTTAATATTTTTTAAAAAAACTGCCATAAAACATTGTTTTTAGGAAACAATTTTAGGAGTTCAACAGTTGTTATAATTTTTTTTCAATTATTTGAACAACCGATTTACAAATAGTTTCAATATAAATTACAAATATAAATGCTTTTTGTTTTTTTTGTTTCATCATACTATTATTTACTTGATTATATTTATCTTTTCTAAATAGCTATTTATTATTATGTTTGGAAAAAAAATTCCGGGTTCATTAGTTGGGAAACGTTCGTAAATCAGTTTAAAAAAATGAAATCTTTTCAATATTTTGTTAAGATTTTCGAGTTATTGATCATCTATCCAAATATTCAAACAACTAATGATATTTAAATTTTTAAATAGTTTTTGAAATATTTGTACTTTTTTACTTCTAGCAAACATCTACGTACTGAAAAGCTTAAATGTTTTTTTCGAAGACCATCAAAACAGTTTTTTTTTGTAATATTAGGTTTAACATTTAAATTTTTTACGTGAACTATTTAGTGGTAATACATACGAAGGCCAATGGCAGAACGGTAAGAGACACGGACTTGGTGTGGAATCTAGAGGGCGGTGGCTGTACAGAGGAGAATGGACTCAAGGTTTTAAAGGTCGGTATGGCGTAAGACAATCAGCTACAACAAATGCCAAGTATGAAGGTACTTGGGCAAATGGTTTGCAAGATGGCTACGGATCTGAGACGTATGCTGACGGTGGTATGTAAATGTACATAATAAGTTTTTTTTCACAAAATAGCTAGTTTTACGTACTGAATAGTTTTAATTTTTCTTATTAACTATTTTTATTACTAATTATTCAGTTAAAGAGTATTGATGCTATTATTAGTGTCAATGCCATATATCTACATTTTTGACATTTTTCAAGAGAACACAAAAATCTGTTTACTTATTATTTCTAATTGAATAAATTCTTATAGTTATTAAATTTTTTTTTTATTTTAGCCTTATCTTTAAAATATTATTAAAACATTTAATTTAAGGGAAATTGTATTAAGTAACTATTAAAACTGAAGCATTGTATTATGAAAACAAAATAAAATATTTTATTATGAATGTGTTTAAGCATTTCAACATTAAGGGTATCGTTTAGATTAATCGTTTATACTATTTAATTAAATCATTCTATTGTTTTAAATAATTTTGTTTTAAATCGAGGAAAATATTCATAAAATTTATCAAAGATTTAATCGTATTAGCTATACTTAAAATCGGTTTAAATTTAAATTAAAGATATCATAAAATTCGATGGGGTTATTTTATTGGTTTAAGAAATGTTTTTGCTTAGTAAATATGAGCAATTATTATGTATACTTAACCTTATAATGATCTCTTCTATTAATTTCTTTATATTCAAAACTTTTTTTTTTATACTTTATAGCTTATGATACTCTAAAAATAACTATTTTAATGATAGTTAATAACCTGTTATATGGATGTTCTAGTAATAAAAAATTACATAATATGATTTTAAATTAAAACGTTTGTATTTACGTACTATTTTTTTAATAAGGCAATTGGTTTATTTGTTTCAAAATATTGTAACAACCATAGATTCATCAAAAAAATACATTTGCATCAAAGTTAAAAATCATATTTTATACAAAGACTTAGTATGTTTATTTATTTAGGAACGTTTCAAGGCCAATGGATGCGAGGTATGCGTCATGGTTATGGTGTTCGAACCAGTGCACCATTTGGTATGGCTTCCCATAGTAAGCCAAATAAATCTGACATAAGGAATTCGTTATCGTCATTAGGCAGTGAAGATGTGCAAAAAATTGGTAGCATATCAGATGATCCGGGAATTGGAAGTGAAGGGCGTGACAAAAAATTAGATGATACAAGAGGAGGCTTTGTATTGAAAGCTAATAGCGACGAACAACCCAACAAAAAAAAGACAGTCGTTTCTAAGTCAACACATAGTTTAAAGAGAACTTTCATGTCTGTAAGTGATTACTGCTATGTTTAAACTATTAAAATAACAATAAATTATTTATATATTGATTAATTTTATCCATTATTATCACAATAAAACTTGACTTAATGTACAAAATAAAAATTACTATGTATTGGTTATAAGCTAGACTAATGAAAAAATTAACTAAAGAGTCTCAATAAATTACATAGATCTATAACTTTTAATATCAATTTGGGAGTATTATAGATTTCATTTAATATTATACTATGAAAATGATGTTGATAAAATATTCTTAGGGTTTTAAAATGAGAAAACAGAGAAGTACAGGCGAGTTGGACAAACGAGTGGCCGGAAGTATCAGAAGTACAGCATCATGTACGTCCTGGATTAGCACTGGATCATCCCAGTCGGGTATGGGTGAATCCTACAACACTGATTCAAATGCGAGTTTTATTGTTGAGGTAAGTTTCTTCTAGTCAGTGTAATCTTTATTTTTAATTATTTTACACGTACAATTCTCTATATTATGATACATCTGGTGTAAAAGAAGATGGAGAATTAATATTAATCAGCACAAAGGAATCAAATCGAGGCACTTGTGCACTAAGATACAATACACTTATTATGTAACACGATATAATCGTCTACTAATTTTTTTTGGTCCAATGACATTAGGTCTTCTTTTTTAGTCTACGTTGTTGAAGTTATTCATAGTATTTAATCGACACTATAATGGTTACATTTTGTCAATTTATTTCTAATATTTATCAAAATCAATAAATGTTTACTATAATTTATTAAAATAACTCAAATACAGGCTTCTGGTATTATTTCTAGTTATATCGACTGTTTCTTGAACATTAATATCAATGGAGTTAGGTAGATGAATATGACGAACATTTTTATAATAAATATTTATTTATTATAAATTATTTAATGTTGCACATTTAGTAACACGAAAACAGCATTGGTATATAAGTTCATTATTTCTATTTGTTCGTATTTGATAGTTATTTAAATATTTGGATACTAGTAAAATCTTGTGGTTGTCAGATGAAATAACGTTTGGTTTATTCATAGTTAGTTAATAAACAAGAAACTGATATTAAAAATTGAATTAAATTAATAATATTATTATTTAACATTATAAGGTAGTATATACCACAAATCGTTTAAAAGCAGATTTTTTTTGTTGAATAAATATTTTAATAAATTGACCTTATAAGTAGATATTATTATAAAGTAAACGTTTTGTAGTAGACATTTAACCATTTACTACATACCAGTTTAACATTAATATTTATTTAAATAATTGTGGATAACTTATTTGGGTACTAAATAAAATTTACTTTTTCAATTTAACTTAGGACGAACATATGGATGTCAACACTACTGAAACTTATATTGGTGAATGGAAAAATGACAAAAGATCTGGTTTTGGAGTGGCTGAAAGAACAGATGGTCTTAAATATGAAGGCGAATGGTTTGGAAATAAGAAATATGGTTACGGTGTTACAACATTTAAAGATGGTACAAAAGAAGAGGGCAAGTACAAAAACAATGTGCTGATAACATCGCAGAAGAAAAAGCATTTGTTCCTAATCAGATCAGCAAAATTCAAGGAGCGAATAGAAGCAGCAGTAAATGCGGCACATAGAGCTTCTAAAATAGCTCTACAAAAAGCCGACATAGCCATTTCACGGTAAATTCACATTATGAAATAGAAAGAACATAAAATAATTGGCTCTAGAACATTAAAACATTCTTTGTTTTTAATTAAACATATGATAATTCTATTAAAAATGAAGCTAAAATGTACATTATGTTAGTAAATTACTATCAAAAGTTATTCCAAAATCAATCGTGTTTTCGGCAATTTTTTTAAATTTCAGAATATAATTGTTAATTACGAGATTTCTTAAAATGTCAGTTAATTGGTTTTAATATTCATAGGCGTTGATTTTTCATCAGTATTTATTAATATTATTTAATTCATTTGTAATGTCCTCTCTGAAAAGCTATGCTTGCCTTAAAGATGACGCGAATACCTATAAATAGTTCAGCGCAACAAAATCGAACTCCAATACATACGCACCAAAACACCACCTGTTCTCGACTAAGCTAAACAAGCTTATATAAAGTATCACGAAAAATTAAAAACAATAAATATTTTTATAAGTTTGATTTAAATACTAAATTATTAATTTTTTCATCAATTTGCTACTTCATTAGCAAAAAATATCAATAAAGAAACAAATGATAAACAATAGTTTTTCATTATGAAATATACTCATTAAAGACCACTAACGTTCAATTTGAAGACGGCCAAGAGTTTTATTTAAATAGAAATCAATTCTTTGAATTTCTCAGAAGCTTACGAGCGTTTTAAAACTACAAAATTAATAATACCTCATATAATTTTTTATATTTAATATCCCTTACAGGATTCAGATTATTAGTTAAAAATATTTCAATATTATCATAGAGTTTTTATGATTTTCTTTTCTTACTAGTTGAGCTATTTTTTTTAAATAACTTGAATCATCTATTGAAACATCATTATTTTGATCAAATACACCGTATAGTTACTATTTTATTTTTAGAAGAACATGTACAAGAAGTGTTTATAAAATACAACGTTTACACTTCTCAAATTTCCTCATTATTAACGATAACAAGTTTCTGTTGATAATATAGTTGTGTTAAAAAAAAATCGGGTTACATTTTTACACAACTATATTTGTTTTAATTTTATAACTTGAAATACAATGTTTTCTAAAAGATAAATTTTGTTATTAATGATTCAATTTCGTAAAACTAAATTCTTGCCTGTTGTTATTTTTTAGAATGGCTACTGCTCGTGGAAAAGCTGAGTTATCTGACATTGCGGCTGATCATGCGAGAGAAGATTACGAAATTGCCAAACTTACAGCCAAACAGTTTGCACCTGATTTTATACAACCTGGTTAGTAGAATTTGTGCTGTAACTCAAAAATATAAGATATGATGCAGGGAATTTAGATTGGTGGAGACTCTTATGATATTCTAATCTGTTTTTTATACGAGTTAATTTTTACATCAATGTTAGTGTTCTAAGGGTTTATTTACTAACACAATCTCAAAGGAAAGAAATTTTACCATATATATGTATGTACAGAATAATCGATCTATCATAAATCGTTCGTCTACTCGCAAAATAAATACAATATTGGAAAAACAATTTTCGTTTTCTTTTAGTTACATATAATTTTTATTGATCAGCTAATAATTACTTTTATGAAACATTCTTTATAATAATAATAATATATACTAAGAGGGATTCACATAACGAAAAATAAAAATAATATTAATCATTATTTTACTGATTTCTTTTAGTTCAATGTCGTCTTTATTTTTAAAGCATTAAGATTTTTTTTTATCTATCCCTTATATGATTTATTATGATGTGTATATGATTAGTTTAATATGACCTAGTAATGTTTCAATACATTAGTTATTATTAATATACAATGTGATCGATACATCAACAATCATTCGATTACTCGCAAAATAAATACAATAATGGAAATAAAATTTGATTACGTATACTTATTGATTCATCAGCTAAAAATTATTTTTTAAAATTATCCTTTAAAACTTATAGGGGTGTCAATTTTAATTTTTTATAGGGGAACACATAATTAACCAGTTTTTTTAATAGATAATGATCTAATTGAGAAAATTACTGGTCCATAACAACTTTTGAACCAATATTTCAGAATTAACAATTTAAAGTATAGACTAGGAGGTAAAAAGTAAGTGCTGCTATTTTTATTACTAGTCATTTACCGACCTTACTCTTTGACCCAGTCTAGGTTTAAAAATGAGAATAACTTCCAAAATACTGGTCCAAAAGTCAACTAGTCATTTTCTTAATTACTTAATTTTCTATTTAATAAACTAATTAAATATGTTTACCTTGTATACAGAGCAATCACCAAACGTAAAATAACAGTTGCTCTCCTCTATATATATATATATACAAAATGTTTTACCAAAAGTATTTATTTTAATTTTACTCTTTATAGTAAGATATTTATCTAGTACTTTTGCTTACCTTTGAGTAAGTCTTCTTAAAAAAAATATATTCTTTTTTTTCTATAGAATATTTTTTTTCACGCTGATAATGTTGATAAAAGAAGTGATCGTTGAGAGTCTATGTGCATGTGTATGAGAATTAATGTTGACCCGTCTTTTTATACTTTTTTAAAATGAATTACGGGATCAATATCATTAGCGTTTCCAGATGCTTATTGTTCATATATTCTTTAATTGTGATCAAAGTTTACAATATTTGTTTTTAATATGCAATAATTTGAGTAATAATACTATTACATAATTTTTTTTTTCATTATAATATTACTATCATAACAGTGTTTTAATAATCTATATAAAGTGTAATTATTTTTCGTAATTAACAAAAACCTTATTGAACCTTGTTTTCTACTACACGATTTTTATTGTACATTAACATTGGTTATTTGATATTTTATACCTACAATGCAATATTAATATTGTAAAACATTTGAGACTTAAAGTAAACTATTAAACGGTGTATTATAGGACTAGAGAAAACAAGACTTCGAGAGTTATTGAAACAAAGATTGTCAATGGACAAGTCGTTAGACATGTCACTTGAACAAGAAATGTCAATACCAACCGTCGAAAAAAACAGCGTTTCGTTTGGTGGTAATTTTTCTTCAGCTCGATCATCTTCGTTTGATTCTACAAATAAAGATATTATGGGTGGACAGCCATCTGAGTCTCAATTTAAACCCAGGTCACATTATGCACAACCTTACTACCAGTCAACGATCAATCAGACTGGTGTGTCGTCGTCTGCCAATAATCAGACTATCATTAGTAATTCCATTAAACCTCCACCATTATCTCCACGCAATAGTTTAGCTGATACAAGTCGCGTTCCTAATAATACTTTGTCCGTTTCCAACAATATTAATTTCAACAACAATAGTAGTGGACCCTATGGGACAGGTAAACAACCAGCACCACCCCCATCCATAACGCCTTTAAGTCAAAACGGTGGTGAAAGTGGTAATCAAAATCATGCTTATGGCTCCGGTAGGAGACAATCCGTTCATCAATCCATGTATATACAAAATGATGATGGAAACGGTGGGTATATGAACAATGGAATGCCTCAAGATCGTGGTCGGCCTGGACTTAGTGATGAATCGGATTCTTCACTAAAACGCAACAAGAATTATGTTAACAGAGAATCGCTTTATAGTTTCCAACAAGTAAATAATTTTTTTTTTTTTATTTAAAATTCATTAAATTTTTTCAACTTTTATTATTTAGGCGATGAGTGATCATTTTGATCACTACAAAAGACCACCCAGCCGTGATAGCAGTGTAGATAGGTATAGCCGAGCTGCAAGTAGACTGAGCGGTGAGTCGAGACAATCTTCTGTGGAAAAAACAAGAAGAGATCCAGATCACCCTGTAGTGAGTGGTGATGTAGGAAGAGCAGCAATAAGTAGCCTTGCATCGTCCAAATTGATTGGTGCGTCATCCGTTAAATCAGCTGCAACTTCAAATAGCGTTACGCGATCACCCCCACCGTTTGAAGAGATTATTCTCAGACAACGAAATCTCGGACAAGAAATTGTTCCATCACCTGTGGGGCAACCTAAACGTACTGAGTCATTATATGTGAATCCAAATGCTCGGAAAGATCCTAAACTCAGGGTAAGTACAGACGAAAGCGCAATACCCAATTCGTTTATGTATCATTAATATTTTTTCATCATTCAATCGCATGCAGTTTTATTGCTTTTGATTCAATTTATGTGCATGTTTTTTTTTTGTCCTATCTAATAATTTATTATAATTTTTATCTTAACAGCATTTTGTTGTTAAGTTTCAATTTGGTTTAATTCTGGTAGATACAAACGAAATCTATTATAATTACACCACAACGATTATCGATATCTAAAACCATACATTGCTTAAATATTTTATGTTTATATTTTTCATAATTATAATTTTATTGTAATCGACGATACATTGAAGCTTACTAATAAGAATTATTATTTTTAAACTCAAAATTAAATAAATATACATATCAGATCTTAGTAATTTTATTAAAACGGACCAATAAATACTCAACCAAATTCAGATAAATAAAACAATATATTATATATTGTTCCATATCCTATTGTTAAACATATAATATTGCCTAACTTAAAATAATTATAATAAAATAATGAGTTTTACCTTATAATTAAATTAAATAAATATTACATGAATTAAGAATAAATTAGTTTTTAGAACAGAATTTGATTTCCTTCTTTTGAAATACAATGAATGACCACTAAAATTATTTATAAAACTTTTTTAGGGAGAACAACCTTTTCTTTTTAATTTGTAACAAATAATTTAGTTAATTTATAATTTTTATAACCCAGTAGTTATAATTCCCGTTATAATTTTCAATTTCTCTACTCAATAAGTTTTGTAATACACTTCGACATATGGTACGTAATAGTTAATTAATATGTTTCTAAATTCATCTAAAATTGCTATTGGAAAATAAGGCTATTAAATAGTTTATTATAATACAATTTTGTATCATGTATAATGTATATAAAATACTCTAAATATTTTAACAAAAAATGTATTTTGTAAGCTAAAATGTTTCACAATGTGTATGCTGATAATGTAATGTAATTTATATGTTTATTTTAATGAAATCTACTCACCTCATGCTTTTTGATGGTTTGAAAAATCAATTAGTTTAATTGCGTCGGCTTTAAAATATTCCAACTTAATACTGGCTGTTCAATTATGTTAAAAACCGTAACATTTATGTTTCTTGTGTAATTAATAAACACACAACTAAAAATATCTATATTTATTTTATACATATGTAGTCTTTTATTGCCGTATTGTATTATTATCTATTCGTGAATTATAAATATTTTAAACGTGTATTTTTTTTTTTATAATAGTATAAGTAAATATTTATAATAATATTATAAATATACTATACTAAATTATAAATACTGAAAATAAACAGGGTAAAATTAATACCTTCTAAGCATTACGTTTAAACTAAAATTAATTATCAGGAAAGTTTTTACATCCTATACTTTGGTACTTAGATTTTTCTTCGATGACTTCTTAAAATCAATAACAAAATTTTGTGATTGTATTATTTTGTACACTATTTTCTACATTTTCATCTAGAAATATAAATTTATAATACTTATTAAACAACTAAATAACTCTATAACGAAATCATTATTATGAGGTTTATGTCAAAATTCGGCTGTAATATGTAATATCTAAATACCCAGTACAGCCAAGACCAGCATATAGAGGATTATTTAGGATTACAATGTGACACTGACAAAAATTACTATCATAAAATATTTCGATGTGATTGAGATGAGAGAGAGTTTAAATTTCCTCTCATTTCGATATAAAAATGAAAATAAATTCTAAAATATTGGTCCAAAAGTTGTTATAAAATTTTATTGATAAGTTGAAAAAATATGGATCTAAAAGAAACCAATAAAAAAATTGTTAATATTTTTTTTATTTTTCGATTAATTAATGGTAAAAAAATTTAAATAATTTTAAGCAAAAAAGTAAAACAAATTTTCTGATTTCATAAATTGTATTTTTTGGAATAATTCAATCTAATAAATAATGGTATATAGAAGTCTAAATGAAATTTTTTATTTATTTAAATCAAATTTTCAATCACATGTAATCAATATAATAAATTTAATCTATCGATTAAATCATTGACAGTATAGTAGTCAATAATTTCGACACCCTTAAGATATTACACCACTAACTTGGTATGTATGTTTTTAACAAGTTTATTTAGCAAAAATTATATTTTTAATATTTTATAGTTGAAGATTATTTCACACATAATAAAATAAAATGAAACAAAATTTTACTTAAATGTTAAAATAGCATTATTATAATCATAAGTTTGTTCAAAGAATATCAATAAAATAATGGATTTATTGTATTTTATTTAAGTTACAGTTTTATTCGATATTAAATAATTGATTTAAGTTTACTAACATTTTGATCTGTTCTTGAGTTTTTATGGACTAATCTAATCTTCTTCTTCTTTTTCCTCGTCTTAACCAAATATGATAATTTAATTAAAAATTTATTGAGCAGAATTAGTATAAAACAAATATTAATCCTATTATATATTTAGGAGATTAAATTTTAAGTCTTAGTTATTATTTATACGTAATGACGTACTATCTTAACATAATTTAAATATTTGGTTTAAATAGGTTTAATAAGAAGAAAGACATTCGTGCACATCTAATAGTCCTTAATAACATTTTTATATAGTAAAGCAAATAAAATAGTACTAAAGTATGATATGGGGACACAGCCCCCATGATAATATTTATCTTAAAAGTTTTTCAATCCCTCCATGGCAAAATTATTTACTTGTCACTAATAATGAAATTTTATCAATTGTGGTTAATATTATTTAAAACTAAACAATAATAAAAAAAAATGTGTATACATATTTTGAGCAATGTTACCATCATCATTACTCAACACACACAAGTATATGTTAATATTTTTAATTTTTAAAGGGATCATTTTAATTTAAAAAATTGTTATGATGATCTTTTTGTTTCATGTGATAAATGAAAAATTAAAGTATAATAAATTTTGAACAATATATTAAATATAGTGTATTTATTTTATAACATATTAATAACAATTGTTATACATAGAATCATTGACAAATAATATTATAGAATAGTATAATATTACCTAAATTAATAATTAAAAATTGTATCATTTAAATTATTGTATTAATAAATATTAATAACACTAATATAAATAATGCTTAACAAAATTTTATTTAAAGAGAGCAATGCAATTTTAACACCTGATTACACAATAAAAAAAACGAATTTTTATGCACACATTTCATCTTGGTTTGTTCAATTGTTGCTTATGCTAATTACTAAAATGACTGTCTAAGTCCTGCTTAATGACATATGGTAAGCGGACAAAAAACATTTTGTATGAATGATAATGTCGTAAAAAATAATATGTCCATTTAAATAGGAAACTCCCACTCAAGTAATGTTGCAGCGCAAAAAAAGTCTGCCCGATGTTCAAGCGACTTCAAACGTTCCGGTTTCCATTTCCAGAGAAGAGGTTTCTGTTCTCAGCTCAGCAAGGCGCGAAGAAATCCGAAGAACTGAAGAAGAAAATGAACGACTTCGAGCCAACCCCTTACTTTATTTAGTCAGTCCACACATGAAGGTATGCACTGTGAATTACCAAAAATGCCACTCCTAATATTGTTTTTAAATATAATAAAAATGAAATATTCACTTATATTATTGAAATAAATATAAACTGAAATACATGAGATTCCCGTCATATTTTGTTGGTATTCATACAATTATAACTAGTTCAAGTCATAAACAAGGTGTAGTATATATTTCTCATTTACAAGAAAATTTGTTTAATGAAATTGAAGATTTATTAAATGAACATATAAATTATATGTTTTCAAGAATGTTTTGTTACATTTTTGACTTTATAAAACAATAATAGTTAAAATTAATAATCCACATTCTAATATTATAGAACAAATATATTAATGAATAATCAAAATATAAAGTATTAAAAAATCATAGCTCACAAATTTTAGTAGAAAAAATAATAAATAAAATAAAATGTTAAATATTTATAATTTAAGACTAAAATTAGGGATACTTTCCTCAGTAAAACACTCAAATAAAACTTAATATTACTCTTCTTTTTTTTTTTTAGGACTGGTTTACGAGACAACAGTTGGTTTTGGTCATATTGTTCGTTAATATTTCATTGGCATTGATGTTTTTCAAGCTTTTAACGTCCTAAATTGTATTCTATTAAATCAAAATATGACTACAATGATTAGTCAGTCACACGTGAAAATTGTATTTTGAACTCTTTTGTTTAGAGCTCAATATTTCCCTTTCTTTAGATTTACCAAAAAAATAAGAAAAACATGAATAATATAATAAAAAAAAAAAATGTAACTCATTTAGTTTAGAATGCTTAGACTTTATAAGTTGAATAAATAACTTCTTCTTAGAATCCATTTCATTTCTGTATACATCTAACTGTATTTAATAGACGAATGTACATTAATGCCGTTTTGCTAATTATCAAATTTACAACACATGTTTACCCATATTCTTTATTACTATTAAGTTAAAAATATTATTTATTATGTATATTGAATTAAAAAACAGTGTATTTATACAATTGTGTATTATAGTTAATTAATACAGAGTATTATTGCCTAATTTTTACCAAAACAGGGATAAAAAATAACGTGACAATGTTAAAACTCATTACGTGTAATAAACCGGATTATAAATTAGACTTGTAATTTCTTACAGTATGAGAAAATCATTTTCATTTTATATTTTTATTAGTAATTGATGTTAAATAAGTAATACTACTTTATAATTTGAACTATTGATGAATTGATCAATGATAATTAATTAAATATTTATTCCTACGCAAAACCGACGCGAGTCTAAAATGACCCAGGCGATTGCCTAAGACACCAATTGTGCCTATACTGTTGAAAGGCGTCATAACGTCTGTTTTTAAGTATAATAAAGGTACTCAAATAACAATTGGGCCTAGGGTATCTTTAGACCTCACGCCGGCTCTGTTTCTACTCTTATGTTACAATGCACGAAAATTGTTATTTTTATGAAAATATAACGTTTAAAGCACAAAATAATTTTATAATGTCATAATTACACTATTTCATTTGTACTTAAACTAAAGAGTTTATGTCGTTAGAATGTTATATTATATATATATATATATATATTTATGTATACAACTTATCAGAAGTCAATAAAATAGTAATGAAAAATAATACATTCTTATGCAATTTGTTTGTTTAAACCATACAGAAGTTTTTTCAATTATGCATGGTTAAATAAAATATTTAATAATTAACCATTTCGATGTATCCAAAAATAATACTTCAACACTAAACATTCAGGTCTAGGATTTATTCTACAAGTAGAACAAGCATTACCTAATGTCTTCGAAAAAAATTCTTACCAGGAATTCATATGGTATGCAGGTTCTTTAAGCCTCCATAAGTTACATTTTTACTTGTTAACATTATACTATGATTTTAATTACAAAATACAGTATGAATAATAATTTTATTTTTTGGTTCGCAAAAAAAACAAACCTCTAGAGTTATTATTTGAAATTAGATTTTTACATTAATTAAAATATAGTATCCATGAAACATGGTATCTTACTCTTTTTTAGTGTTTTTTAATTAGATCAAATATTTATTACCACGCAACGTTTCCTTTGTGGAGAGAGATATTAACATATAAATTCAAATAAACATCCTTTTTTTCTGCAATGGATTTTCCATACATTCAGAGTATAAAATGGTTTAAAACCCTACTTTTATATTTAATTAAATTATTCTTGCATTACAAAATAATAATTACTGCATATCAATAGTTTTTCAACATATTAAACGCTATTATTTTTATCGTAATTAAATGATAATAAGCTTATATTTAATTAGACTTAACTTAATTTAATAACATTATTTTACAAAAAAATATCTAACAATTATCATGATTAACTATAAGTTTTCAGGAAGAAGTATGACTATAATTTTAGGAAATTTAAATCCTAAAGTTTATCACAATTACTAATATTGAGTAGAAAAACATGCTTGAGTGTTGCCAAAATATCTGAACTCGAGATGCTGAGCTTATTCCCGCATTAAATTTGTCTACAATATGTAATTTCCAGCCCATATTACTTTGAGTAAAACTGTGGTAGTACACCGTGTCTGGCCATGACGTGTTGGGCTTAAATTCTAAAATAGCTGGTTCGCCTGCAAAAATTACATTAGATGTAAAAATTAATTGAGCCATCATTAAAAAAAAGTAAGCACTAACCTGGTTCGCATTTCATTTGTAGTGTTCGGTTAAACTCTTTGAAAGTCATAAAGTTATCATCCAGTCGATGGTTAAGTTTTCGACGCTCACGTAAACACAAAGGACCGGCTAAAAAAATAAAATAAAATTTAAAATTGTTAAGCTTTTACTACCAATTTAAAACTTATACACGATTAAATAAAAAATATAATTATGTTGTGATGTAACAGAATTATTTGATATAAATTAAGTGATCATGGATTACTTGAAGTGCTTCAGGATATATCCATAAAANAAGTGATCATGGATTACTTGAAGTGCTTGAGGATATATCCATAAAATTTTTAACATGATCATGGATTATTCTGTGAAGTTCAAATATCGAACTTAAATTAGCATTTCAATATATTTATTTAATAATATATGAAATTAAAATAGTTTCCTTGTACAAATTTAATTTAACGGAGTTTTGATCAGACTTTTAGTCTGTGAAAATAATTAAGAGTAATTTTAAAGTCAATATTAAAACGTTAAGTACAGTTGGGATCCATTTTAGCTTCGATGCAAGCTGAGAAGGTATTAATTTTACTATGATGTGTTTTTTTTTGTGTCTGTTACCACTTTTTGTCAGCTCTCACCGAACCGATTTCTTTCAACGATACGTCAAAAGATCACAAATCGTATCTAGTCGAAGACATTATCCTTAAAAATTGAAAAAATTCCCCTCGTTCCCCATAAATGAGGGAAATCACCAAAAAAAATACTAAGTTAAAAATCGCTAATTTTCGACATTTTTCAATTTTTTTTACGTAAAATTGCCATAACTTTTTTAAAAATAACCAAATCAATATATATATGTGTATTATAGATGCATGATGTCTTTACCTTTCATTTGGTAAATTTTTTTTATACATCTGACCCTTTACCTGCCCAAAGAGGGGATACAAAATCACAATTTTTTCACAAAAAATTAACTTTTTAAACTTAACTTTTGAATGTGTTCCGGAAACTCTGACACTTTCATTAAAAGTGTTTTAATTTTACTTAAATTAAAGATAATGTAATATACTTAAATATTAAAAAAAAAAAATTTTGGACTTTATTTTGTCTTCACTGTGAAAACAAACATTAAAGTTAATAAAAAAAATTCATTATTATATTTTAACTTTATAAAGCTATAACTTTTTGAAAAATGTATGGTTCATTATATTTTTTTTAAGATAAATACTATTTATATTTATATATGATTAATATATATATATATATATTTATTTATTCATATATTACACTTATAAATCATAAAACTTATAATCAGGATATAAATAAGAAAATAGGAGAACATGTAGCTTTTGAAATAATTTACCAATTTTTGAAAATTAAACATCATCTACAGGCTTGCATCGAATCGTTTTTTTAATAGTGATTTTAATCACTGTCAGATATCATCTATACTGGACCCAACTATGCCACTGTACCGAGACCCTACTATGCTGGGTTTTTTATTTTATATCATACGTAAAAATATAGAAGCGTGGAAAATGTTTAAATCATTTAAGGTCAAAATTTAATAAAATATGATAACTAGCTTCAAAATACTTAAACTGTGAAAAAGAGCGAAAGAAAAAGGATTTTCATTAAATATTAGACGGCATTAAAATATTTAGTGATTTGGAGATTGAGAATAATTCATTCTTAAAGATTCTTTTTACCAGCAATAGGCCGTGCTTGCCTTCTTAACGTATACTGGACTCCTGCTAATATCCTTGTATGCTTTTGAGCTGCTTCAGACATACTATCAAAACCTCCATTTGGTTCATCAGTAATGACAAATGGGTGATATAATTGTGAACTATGCACATTATTGCCACCATAAACGAGTACTGCGTATGTTATACCCCTTTTTAACCATATTTCAGGTATTAGATGCCCATTAATGTACCAGGCAAGACCGGGTGAAGGCATACCTATAAATTATCATTTTAAACAAATTTAAAAACTTATTTATTTAAATTTATATTATTTTGTTACCCGTGAGTCCTTGGTAACCTTTTTGGCCACCTGACGGACCTAAAGTTGCAGTTATCGCACGAAGACTACTATCTATAATTTTTGAATGATCCCAAGATTCCCTTAAATAATTTATTGACAAATTAAAATTTTAATTTCTTAAAGCATTTATCCAACAAGCTAATCATAAAAATATTCTTACTTTTTAAGCGGCTCACTGTTTATTGAAAATGGATAACAAGTGTCAATTGGTGGATTTGGGTCTAAATCCAATTTCACTACACTTCTAGGATATAAATCATGTAAGGAAGGTTCGTTTAAATGATTCATACGACCAATCGCCCAAATCATTGAGTTTAGGACATTATTTTTAAATTCTTTGTCACCACTGTCATCTAAACAAAACGATAAATTAAATATTGAATAGTAAAAAAAAATATAAATAGTATTTAGATGTATAATTTTAAGTTTAACATAATAATAAGTAAATATTTAAGATTAGGTACTAACGAGTTAATATTTTATATTTTAATAACATTGAATTTAATCAGATACTTTATGTTACACTTCAAGGAAATTTTACTTAGAATGTTAATTATTTTATTTTATTTTATCAAATTAAATTATTTTTATAATTCGTAACCTTTACAATATTTAAGGACTTTTGTTTAACCAACGTGATTTAAAATCCTACATAAATCACCAACTCGTTCAACCTTAGAAAAAATAACAATTCAAGGTCATAAAATTTCATACATTTTGTTAAAAAATTAACCCTTTTTAAGTTTTAAAATATACAACCAGAAAAATGAATATTATGAGAGCTATGAATGAACCTGTACTTATTTACCATTAATATAATAGGAGCTTTTTTTATTTATAGCTTTTAGTAATTCTCTTTTTTAATGACATAAATAATATATTTTTATTTAAGTTCACTTTTATAATACATATTTATAAAAGATTTTAGAAAGTACATACATGAAATTAAGTTTCTTCGGTAAGTTATGATATTAATACCATTCTCTCTATTGGCTGTTAGAAGTTGGTTGTCGTCCAAACCACCGACCAAAATGTCTCGACAAACACCTTTATATTGGCCCAACACTTTTATACACTAAACAAAAATAATAAACTACTTTGAAAAATGATTGAAACTAAGTATCCTAAATGATTTTTAAAAATTGACTGGACTGACTGGTGAAAGGGCTGTGACATTGTAATCTACAGCTTGTCCCCGAAATCCGTCAAAGTATGTAATTGCTATATCAGCTCCCATCATTTGAGCATTATTATCAGATCCACTAAACCCAAATGCCATATAATCTTTTTCATCTACTTGACCAGCTAACCTGATGGTAATATATGGACCGAAAACTTGCCAGGTAACCTGTAGTTTCTTGTGCAATTGAACACAGTGCATGATATTTTCTACTTTATTCTGAAAATTTATTTTTATTAATTTAGAAACTTACATTTATTACAATATAATAATAAAAAATTACTCACAACGACTTTTTGTAATAGGGGTGGTACATTGGGTTCATCTGGTATCAGCACCCATCCGTAATTTTCTTTAGTTTCTATATCATATACACTTAACCAGTCCACGTCAAATACAGTCTTATCGCCAGTTAGTTCTAACACTATTGTTTCATTTGAATATGATCTCAAGTTGTCCAAGCTTTTACAAAATATATTTGTAATTAAATAGAAATGCTCTCTTTGGGCGAGAAATTTAATTATAGTTAAAAAGATATAATATTTTAAAACAAATTTTTGTTGCAAAATTTTATATTTAATCAGCAACTACATATTATGCAGTGATAGGAGAGTGTATAAAAATACAAAAGGAGAAGACAACTTAATATTTATAGATGAAATATGGTAGTAGGAGGAGAAGTGGGTGGCCAAGCAGTTATGAGGGACTTGATATGAGAAAATATTGAGCTGAGCATTTAATAATTTTCTATAAGTTACCTGTTAAAATTTTATTTATGACACAAAAGTAATATTTAAGAAACTAGATACACCAGAAGACATGGGGAGGAAATAAAATGTTCAGACCATTAAAGTGTAAAAATGTCATTATATCAAATTACAAGTGATAACGTTATGAATAAAACATTACGAATAATAAATGGAAAAGAATGAAAGAAAAAGTATAACGAACCGAACTTAAAATTTTGAAAAGTAGAGTAAATATTAACAAAAAGCTTTTGAGAAGTGAGGATATACTTATACTTTAAGATCGCTGATTTAAATTCATCCAAATTTTAAGAATAGAATATAAGCAAAAATTTTTAAAATTAACATTTTTAAAATATAAAAGTTTTATCCAGCATATAGAATTATATATATTTAAGGTCATAAATTTCAAATTTAATAACAATTTAAAAATTTACCTAAATTTTAGGTTGCAATGTAGAGCAAATTTTTAAAAATTAATAATAAAAATAAATTTATATGATGTACGAAAATATATTTACAAGTTTATTAAATTTTAATTTTATATTACTTTTAAAAATTCAAGAGTTTTAAGATTGGTATGTTATAGGGTTTGGAACTTATTTCATACAAAATAAAGGAATTATATATACTCATACTCATACTCATACTCACCCAAAATAATAGAAATATGCTAATATATCGAAATATAACTTTTTTAAATTATTGAAATTATTGGTCTTTGATATAAACTGAGGTAGTCAATGTAAAAATTTTATAAATAATAAATATGTGAAGGATAGCAAGAAAAAAATTTTGCATATCATCAGTGTTTAAAGCAAAGGTTGCAGGAGGGGGACGGTGCCCCCTTCTTATTTAGAGTGCAATATAGCGTTTCCTTTAAGTCGAATCACAAAATAGTAGGGAGACTCTTTAATTTTGAGCACTACGTTAATATAAGTTATGTAATTAATTAATTCTTTAATGTAAGCTTAAAAATACATTTACTGCGCAACTATAAAAAAAAAGAATATTGAAAATTTACATACGTATATAAAAACTACCATTTTTTTTTTTTATATACACTGATCCTAATGGACTTTATCGAAAATACAAGAGACAGTCTGTTTAAAAAGAAATAATTTTTTTTTAATATGCTTTTTATGTAAATCCAATTTAAACCCAAATACAAAAATGGTTTACCTTGTAGTCAGGTAAAGGGTCAGATTTATAAAAAAAATATACCAAATGATAGGTAAAGACATCATGCATCTATAATAAAAATTATATTGATTTGGTCATTTTTAAAAAAATTATGACAATTTTAAGTAAAAAAAATTGAAAAAAATTCGAAAATTAGCGATTTTAAAGGTTTTCTCCATTTACAGGGGACGATGGGAATTTTTTCAATTTTTGAGGATAATGTCTTCGACTAGATACGATTTGTGATCTTTTGACGTATCGTTGAAAGAAATCGGTTCGGTGAGAGCTGACAAAAAGTGGTAACAGACACAAAAAAAAACACATCATAGTAAAATTAATACCTTCTCAGCTTGCATCGAAGCTAAAATGGATCCCAACTGTACTTAACGTTTTAATATTGACTTTAAAATTACTCTTAATTATTTTCACAGACTAAAAGTCTGATCAAAACTCCGTTAAATTAAATTTGTACAAGGAAACTATTTTAATTTCATATATTATTAAATAAATATATTGAAATGCTAATTTAAGTTCGATATTTGAACTTCACAGAATAATCCATGATCATGTTAAAAAAACCTTCTTAGCTTCGCATCAAAGCTAAAAAAACAAATTTATGCTAGAAAACAACAAAGATACAGACTCTCAATTTAAGGAGGAAATAACCATTTAAAAGAAGTATATAATTATAAATATCGTGGTGGTTTAATTAATTACGTATAGAGTCTTGGGTGATACATAAAATTGAAGAAAGATATTTAGAATGCTTCGAATTGTTGTCCTAACGGAATTTACTTAAAGTTAACTGGATGGAGTTCCGTATTAAGATAGGAAATAATTGGACATACTTCAATACATAAGGAGGAATTATATCACAGAATATTGGAAGAACAAATAGAAGGCAATGAAGGTCTTTTAACAATAATATTCAATAAAGCTATTAAAGATGCTGAGCTAAAAACCTACAGGGAGTTAATGAGAATGATCTATAACAGATAGAAGTGGAAGGTATATGTTGTAAAACTATCCTTAATATTGACTACTAATGAAGAAGAAGAAGTAAAAGAAGTAAAGATTATTCAACTATTAAAATTCCTATTCACTTACTATCCTAGTTCATCTGGTATTTTTTGACCTTTGGATGATGGTTGAGGTCCATTTCCAATCACAAAATGTGTATCTACAAAACAAAAATATAACTTTACACTTTTATTGGATGTAACTAAAATTATTTATGTACAATAATTTAGAATTTTTTTATTTTCTTAAAAGGTTTAAAAGTATAACATAGTAAATTATAATCAAAATACCTTTGCCTCCTCCGTCGTAGGAAAACATGGGTATTCGGATAGTTTTGGAATCTAATATTTCGATTTGCCCTGAATTGACACCGCGTGCTTTTGGCGTAAAGGCTCCAATAACTTGTTTGGTTGGCGGTTCAAAATCTTCTGGAATGTCAACATCGCCAAATGCAACCTAATATCGTAAATTAGCCATAATTTCCTCACAGAGGATGTTCCTTAAAGAACTTTTAAGTTCTTCTTTTGTATTTTTGCATTTTTATTATTTTTTATTTTCAATACTCATTGAAAATAAAAATTAATATAAATTATGAGAATTAACATAATTTTGTAACTCTTACAATCACAATTATATTTAAATTTAATTAGAAAATTGTGTGTCAAATAACTTCTTTTCATTTTAGTAAAATTTATTTTTCAATTTTCATTTTTTTATAGTTTCGTGAAAATTTTACATTAATCAAATACCATAAAATGGGCGTTGGTTAGTCTTATAATCACGCACTAAATTAGATGAAATCTTTTGATAAATTTCACGCTTCCATTGCTATTTGATGTTTTGCCAATAACAATAAATAACAATAAATTCATCACTTCAGAATAAAAAGGTTCCAACAAACTTTTTCAAAATAAATATTGACACGGCCCGCGTCGCTTCGTTATACACGATGCTCCGCGTCTCGTTCCACCTTTATCAGCCGTCGCTCTATTTTATGAGTATTTGACTGACCAACACCGCGTGTTATACGCTACGGTGCAAAGTCCAGCAAGTGCCGCACGGCCGACGACGTCCCGTCGCAAATGGTGCGAGAGTCTTCCTCCTGTTGTGAAAGCGACAAGGTCGACCAACCGATCCGCACCCGTCGCCTACAACGCTGCTAACCTTTTGCCGTCCAAGGATCACGCCGGACATCGCGTCGTCGACGCCAGCGAAAGTGCCGCGATATTATGCGAAGATTATTATTACTGTGTTTATCTTTTCGGTTTGTTTTATTTTCTGTTAAAATAACCTGTTGTCGCTCATTTAATAAACGGCCCACGGGTCTCTACCCTCATAACCAGTGTCGAACACATTTTTGCGACGTAAGTCGTGTCAATATTTGAGATAAGTATAACAAAAAGTTACATCTTTTAAATTCTAAATGAAGTCATTGTTGTCATTGTATAGCAAACTAACTTAAATAAAAATCAAAAGTTTATATAATTCTATGATAATTTTGGTTTTTTTATAAACAATTAAAAAATGTACTCACGTTTCTCGATAAGTCATATATGGAAAACCATTTTAAATCTGTTATTTTTTTATTGTCTGGCAAAGTCAGTGTTAATTGTTTTCCCAAATATCTCTTCAGTACGTCCGTTCTAAATAATGTAATGTTAATAAACATCATAAATTAAAATTACACATGTTGACTACATTTATTAAACATTATACAATTAGAATATTTAAGGAAAAATGTAAATGAATAGATAATTATAATAAGTATTTTAATACAGATATATTTTTAACCAGTAAAATTGGGATGGAGTATAATGGGGATCAGGCATAGCAAACTTTAGTATAAAATGATATCTGACAATTATCAACTGTTAGATATCTTTATCACATTCATCACATAAAGCTTTCATGCTATTATTTTGCATAAAGGAAACTAAAAAAAAAGATAGCACAGTGAGGTCGCGGCACAGAGTGTGATTGGCATACTTGGGACTAGTATAGATGATATCTGACAGTGATTGAAATCGTTATCATTAGAAACGCTTCGATGCAAATCTGTAGTGTTTAATTTTAAGAAATTGGTGGATTATTTTAAAACAAAATTCTAATTCAAAATGAATTAAGGAAAAATTTCAAACAAATCAATGCCATAGGCAATGATTTTTACTAAATCGGCAAACGTTCGTCGCATTCGTTTTTTTATAAAATTAGCAATTTAAGTTTTGATTCAAATTTTAAAATTACTTTTTTGGACTCAAAAGAAAAAAAAATTGAAAGAAATTTAACTTTAGATTCCATGTCAATTACCATCTAGATATTTATAATTGTATACTTTTTTTTTTCAGTTTATCTTCAGGTCATATTCTTCGAAACACTTTTAATCCGTTTATATATTTTTTTAGTTCTTGATTATAAGGCTCAGTATATGAAAGTTGTCATAGTTATCTACCGTTATTTATTTTGGTATTGCAATGCAAATATTTTTCTAAAAGTTGTTAGAAATGATTTTTAGATATGAGTAACTATTAAAAATTTTTAATTTTCATAAAGGATATATGTATTGTCTTATTCAAAAAAATGTTCAATTATGTAAAATGTTTAATACCACATACATATATAAATATGTATTTGAATCATTTTTTTTCATCCCCTCAAGGATACAAAAAAACCTAAACTTTAATTTTCTTAAATGGGAACTATTACTTGTAGGTTAATTAACTGTTTAATTTATATAATAAAAATCATTAATTAGAAAATTTTTCAAACAACTTGTTCTTATAATATTTTAATCCACTCAAAAGTATGCGTCTTACAATTGTTTAAAGGTTTGAACTAAAAATAGAAATTTTAAAATCTTTAATTTGTATTTAATAATACCTAGACAATAATAATCCTGTTTCAATGACCATAAATCATTATAAGTATTCATTTTTGTTAAATTTTTAAATTTTATATAGATTAATAGTGAAAAAACATTGAAGAACATTTTCAAAAATTCAAAAGAAAAAATCACTTTAGATTATGTAGGTAGTCTCATTTAAACAAATTTTGTACTTGAGTTTAAATTAGATTTACATAAAAAGCTTATTAAAAAAAAGTTATTTCTCTTTAAAAAGACTGTCTCTTGTATTGTCGATATAAATTCCATTAGGATCAGTGTATTAAAAAATAAAAAATAACAGTTTTAATATACGTATGTAAAATTTCAATATTCTTTTATTTATAGTAGCACAGTTATAAGATAATTTTTAATTTCTCAAATTGAGTGATATTTCAATTTTTTAAGTTGATTGATATAAACATATTAAAATCGTGTTCTTTTAACATGTACAGAATGAATTCCTTAAGGATGAGACACACATTTTCTGGAAAATTATTGAACATTTTAATTTTTCAAAAAGGAAAATATGTATTGTTTGATTTGAAAAACTCTACAATAATATATAATTGAATATTTTTTTCGTCCTCTCTATTTCGTAAATGATATACATATATATATATAATTTTTTTTTAACAACAAAGTTATAGTTCAAAACTATGAAAAATTCATTTTTTTTTTTTTAGATATGTAATATAAACTGAATTAAAAGTTCTTGAATTTATCGTGTTATTGTGACAATTTTCACTCTTTTTATTATTCACGACTATGCGGTCAAACTCTTTGATTAATTACATATTTTCCATTATTAGATTTATTTTGAAAAGCAGAATCTTATGAAAAAAAAATTGTTTAAGACTCTTCATTCTTTAACTTAGTAAAAATAACTTATTATCTACGTTTTTGTTAGATTTAAAATCCAGTGCTTGTGTATCGTACCATGACGCATTTCTGACTTAATCATACAGGCCGATTTTGTTGTATTTTTATTTATGACTAATTATTTATAACACTTTTCATTAGTCAAAATAAGTTAATGAAATTAAAAATTTTTGTGTTGTGACATGTTTCCAAATTTTTAATAAATAGATATATTTATGATTAAATACATTTTAAATAACATTTTCTTAGTATCTTAACATAATTTTTATTTAACTAAGTTACTAGACCTTGCAAAGATATAAAACTGATTTCAAATCAAACGAAACTAAATTTAACGTACTATTAATGACAAGTTTAACTTTTTTTCTTTAAGTTAACTTAAAAGTGTTAAACTTGGAAATTAATCAATTAGTCTATATTCATTAATTATTTAATATTTATAAACTAGTATCTACCAATTGCTTTGTCTTTAATTTTATATTATACCTTCCGTATTCGTTTGCCAAAATAAACCCTTGAGGTCCTGGCCGACTAGAAGAACCAGCCCAAAAAAATGCATCATTTGCGCTTCCGTCAAATGTGAAATCCTCAAGAAGAAGCGTATACTCATTAACAGCGTATACTTGACCCGAAACTTGATGGTGGTAAGAATTTAAACTTCCAATTGACTTGCCTTTGTAATCAACACCTGAAGTTGCATCGACTAGCAAGGATAATTAATAAACAAACTTGATAACAAATTGAACTTGATGATAAGCATATAAAATATATCTTACTTTTAAACAAACAGAACAATAAAAATAATGAACAACTATTAAATGAGTTTCGCATGATATAAAATTATTAAAAGAACTTAAAAATATTATTCTGGTTAAATGAATAATTCCGAATTTTCTTAGAATGTATTGCTTTTTTTTTTTTTTTGAGGAAACGTATATTGATGCAACGAATACATGGCCACGACGATGGTATGCCAGTAAGAAACTAGTCTGGTGGCGACCACTGATACAACATTAGAATACTTCAACGACGTCATCATCCGTTGTTGCCTGCGGTAGAAACAGTGTTAGTGGAATATAATAGTGTATTGAATTCAAGAGAAAGTGAATGTACTTGGAGAGGTGGTTTCCTGGCGAAGAAGTGACCAAACAGACTCGATTGTAAAGCGAGAGAAAAATATTAATTAACATTACGGTAGAACAATTTTCATTTTAAGCACTACATTAGTTCATACATATTGTAAACAAATTATTACAATTAAAAGGAAATTCAAGGAAATAAATAATAAAATTTTTCTAAAATATCCTTCGGATAACATATAATATGTTAAATTTTTTTTTATAAATAAAAAGTAAATAATATTTTTATAATAAATAGAATTATTCAATGTAATTGTATGGCTTATATTAAAAAGTCGATATGTCACAATAATGTTTTTTAGCTTCGATGCGAATCTGAGAAGGTAATAATTTTACTATAATGTGTTTTTCTTTTGTATGTATGTCGCTAATTTTTCTCAGCTCTCGTCGGACCGATTTTGATGAACAATATATCAAAAGATCACAAATTATATCTAGTTGAAGACATTGCCCATAAAAATTGAAAAAATTTCCCTCAATTTTTATAAATAAGGGATATCCCCAAAAAATTACAATTTTTAAAATCGAGAAAATTAGACATTTTTTAAACTTTTTTTATTAAAACTGCCATAACTTTTTAAAAAATAAATGAATCAAAATATTTTTATAATTTTATTATTATTATTTTATTTATAAATTGATAAATTTAAGAATAGCATATTTTTTAACTACGGCAACCGTATGCATATAGAAGATAAGTCGTCGGGACATTTTTTTTTTTGAACTTATAGTGCATAAAATTATCTTATTTCATATATATTTGAAGCTCGGAGTATTTCCGGAACATTTTCAAAAGTTAAGTTAAAAAAGTTCTACTATTTTCTCGTACTTTTAAAAATATAAACCCCTCTGTCTGTATAAAGAAAAATGATCAGATTTAAAAAAAAAGTATGTCAGATGAAAGGCATATATAATAATTTATTTAGAAACAAAAATTTGTATTGATCCATACATTTTTCAAAAAATTATAGGAATTTAAAGTTGAAAAAATAAAATATGAAATCATAAATTTTAAGTTAAGTTGAAAAGTTAAATTTGTTTAAAAATTAAATAATTTAGAAATAGCAGAAATTGCTATTTTGAATCCCCCCTGTGGGCTGATATAGGGTCACATTTTCAAAAAAATTTTATCATATGAAAGGAAAATATGTAAGGTTTCAATATAAAAAAGAATTATTTTGATTTGTTCATTTTTCAATAAGTTATGACAATTTTTAGAAAAAAAAAAAAAAATTGTCGATTTTAAAAATGGTAATTTTTGATGGGATTTCCTCCATTAACACGGAACAAGGGAAATTTAAAAATTGTTGAGGGTAATGTCTTCAACTAGATACGATTATACATAATGTTTATAGCTAACCAAAGTCTTTTTGGATGTAAATATAAGCTACTAGGTGTTGGGTTAATACAGGACGGCCTTGAAGTAGAAAATTCGAGAGAATTAAAAAAATGTTTTTTGACTAAATAACTTTTTTTTTATTGTGTGGCTCTTTTTAAGTTTTTTTTTATTTACAGCCTTACTAATTGAAAAATACCAACTAAAATTATTAAATATTAAGTAATCGTATGATGGGGTGCCACCCCAGGAGACGATCTGTAGTAGATAACATGTTTATCTGATATGTTGGATTAATTAAAAATGTATAAATCTTTATTACAATTTAGAACATTACTGTTAACCAGATTTTATTAAAAAATGATTATTTATAACAGTATATAACTGGAATTCAAGTTCTAATTTGTTACTAATTCAACTCTATTCTACCAATATTGTTTAGGTAGGTGTCTAGTATCTTCGTCATGAAATATGTGTATAACCATTGTATTTTCAATATAAGCATATCAAACTGTTATCTGAATAGAATTGTTCCAAATTATGATCGAGAAGGAGCTATCCACTAAATTATTTTCAAATAGCATATAATGGAATATTAATTTAATTGGCTTGGCAGAATATTTTTATAATTCATTCTAATTTTAAGAATCAATAGAATAAGCTGACAGGGAACTAAGTACTGTAGTGTAGTAATTTAATTTTTACACTTACGAAAATATAATTTTCATAGTCTATGAAAATAATTTGAACTTATGATTCATTAACAATGTCTCACGCAAAATCGTTAAAAATATATATCATAATAATTTTTTTTTCAGAAGTTAATATACTATATTCTATAATTAAAATTGGTTCTCTCCCCTTTACAGTAGTATCAACTTAAATTTTTTTTAAACGGAAACATGTTTTGTTAACTTAAAAATAAGAAAATGATGGGTCAATAACAACTTTTAAACCAGTGTTTTAAAAGTTAGTACTTTTATATAAAAGTGGGAGTAGTGTGGTTTATATATGCACAGAGATAAAAATAAACAGACCCGCTTTACTCTTCCGGCCATAGTATAAGAGTTAATATATTTTAAATTACTGGTTCAAGAATTATTATTGACCAATCATTTTCTTAATTAGATAATTTATATTTTATAAATCAATTAAATATATATGTGTCCATTTAAAAATTATAAAACATAGGATACAAGTAACTTCTGAAAAGAAAAAATTGATGTTTTATATTTTTAAAGATTTTGCGCGAGGTATAATTTAACAACTGCCTTGTGAATACACAGATAATAAAGATTAATATGGAAGTTTCAACCTAGAGGCACCGAAACAAATTTCCTTAAAGGTCCTTTATGTAAAGAAAAAAAGGTCTCCAACATAATGTAAGGCCTTCGGGCACAATCAAACCGATACTGACTAAGTGCTTAAATTTCTCAATTATTTAATAGTATTATCAAAAAATTGTTTTTTTATTAATATTTACGTAAGAACAATCTATAGGGTCTATAGAACACTTAATACCCTCCTGAAGTGTTGAAAATGACACATACATTTATATACTTTAAAAGAGGGGAGAAATAAACTAATTGTGCTTAAGCATATTTAATTATCTTATAATCTTAGCAAAAACTTATTAACTAATAATAGGAGGTTGCCCATACGAAAAAATATTTCTTCTAATAAAAATTGAGAGTGGAACTATTTTTATTAAAACAATAAATGATACATGTATCATACCAGTGACGTATTTAAAAGGGGGTTATGACACCACCTTGATCAGATACTATAAACACATTTTTTAAACATATTTTTCAAATTATTATATGACTAAAAAATTAATGTATAAATTTTAAAAATATATATACTCTAACAAATACACTTTTTTCAATAAAGAAAGTAAGAATATATTTAAAATATTTATTTATAAGGCATTTTATAATGCTCTTAGCGTACAAACATCTATTGCTATAAACTAGAGTATTATTGTTATCATTATTTTCTGCTATACTTTGTTAAACTGATAGAGAAATATTTTATTATATGATATGCAAAAAATGATGATAAAAATTATACATATTGTGAGACCCTCCTTGAAAAAATCTTGCGTATGTCACTGTATCATACTAAAAACTTACCATCCTTTTTGTAATTTATGCTTCTAATTGTTCCAGGAGTATCACTTTCAATTTCAGCATAAGCTTTAATCAAGGTCTCTTGTTTATTAGATAATGATTTAGGTACTTTTATTTTAATGATCACATAATGATATCCATAGTTATAAGAATTTACTCTTATTAAGCCTTGTTTACTTAAAAAAATTTAAAAAAAAAAACAAAGTTGATACCCTTACAAGGCATAAGGAATAAACTTAAAAAGTATTACATAGTTAATAATTCAAGAATAATGTGTCTAGTCTCAAGTTTATAGACGACGGGATACGCGACATAATAACAAGTTCCGCGTGGAGTTACAAACTTACAACAAACAACAAACATACATGTGAAACTAATATAAGCGTGTTAATAAATATAGTTTAAAAAAACTAAAAAAACACGCTTTTAAAGTACATCGAACTAAAAAATTCAAAATAAGCTTAAAATAATAATGAACGAAAAGTACTAGTATTATTTTGATAAAATCGTCGGGCGCTCAATATACGGAAAATATGGCACAAAGCACCCACTCTTTTATTACAATAATACTAGTACTTTTCGTTCATTATTGTTTTAAGCTTATTTTAAAAATTATTTTGAACTTTTTAGTTACATGTTATGGTAGTTGTTACAATCAATATCATGGTTGTAACGGGTAAAGGGTAATCAGGGTTCGATTCCGGAGAGGGAGTCTGAGAAACGGCTACCACATCCAAGGAAAGCAGCAGGCGCGCAACGTGGAGGTAGTGACGAAAAATGACGATACAAGAATCATCCTTTGTAATCGGAATGAACACTTAATATCTCTTAATTAGAATAAAGCGTGTTAATATATAAATTTTAATAGTAATTAGAATATATATATATACATGTAAAGCGACTTAGGTACGTAAACGTATCATGCACGAGGTATAACCGTGAATTGTGGGCGGGCGTGGCGGGAGTTACAAACTTACAACAAACAACAAACATACATGTGAAACTAATAAAAGCGTGTTAAAAAGACTAGTCTTAGGCTTTAATTAAAAAAATTTTTTTTAAATAATTATAATAAAAATAATATGAATTAAAATTAACATTTTGAAATTAAATTTAAATGAAAAATCGCCACATGATACATTGATTTTATTTGAAAATAATAATGATCAACGATAATATAGATAAAAATTGAAAAATACTAGAATATCACAGGCTATGCAATAAAAAAGAAAATAAATCCTTTAAAATAGACTTAAATTGGAAATTTATTAACGAAGTAAATTATTAATTGGTATTTAAGAAAAACTTTTGTTAATATTAAGTAACTAATACAAAACAGAAAGTTATTTATAGTTATAATTTGATAAATTTACAAATATATAAATATTAAGTTATTTTTTTAATCGCAAGTGATTTATAATTTAAAAAATACCAAATAATACATATCATTTAACAACACAATCTTTATAAATTAATGTATAAAAATACTTATATTTCTTAAAACAAATTAAATATTACCACGAATTAATGGTGGTTGTTTATTAATGGATATTTGTGATATATAGAAATATGGGAGCGGTTTAATTTTATGAATGACGTAAAAATTTATGGCGGCATGTTCTGTAGAGCTGTGTCGTTCACGAATGAACGGGTATCATTGGTAAACGATCCAATTCGAATAATACACAAAAATAAATTCTTTCATTCGTTCAATTGTTTTTTCGTTTGGGCAACTTTGTATTTTTGTAATTCCAGAGCTATATATACACTTATAGTCTTTGGTTATTGGGAAAATACTTTTGCCAAGAACTGATAATGATCCGACATTTGACAAAGTAGTAATTGTTCCGAACATCTAGTACTCCGACTATTTGATACCATAGATTACCATAACCATGACGGATTTTACTCCATTTTATAAAAATTTAAATGTGGTAAAAAATCCGACATTATCGATAGTCAAAAGTTTTTCCTATTTATATACATATTTTTATTTGAATATTTGCCTATCTATATAGTAAGATATAATATGAAAATAGTCAAAATGTAAAACTTTTTATTTGACAGTGTTTTCGTGTTTTGCTTTTGTTCAAAAGATTATCCTCGTTTGAATGACTTTTAGCTTTGGCAAGAAACGGCCTAAAAGACCGTCCCGTCGATTAAAAAAAATTTTACATACCAATATGTACCACCGATTTGCAATCGGTCCAAAAAATGTGTAAAATATAACGATACACCGAATGAATCCTTATTTTAAAATAACCCGCTTTTTATAATTTGAACACGTTTAGTGTTAAATCCAAAACAACTATTTTGTAACTGTGGTAACTCATCAATAACATGCAGCAAAGGACTGAAGTACATGTTCTCCTATTCATAATTCATCATTCAATTAAGTATTATTCTTACCTTTTCAACAACACGTAAATTTAGTTTTGTTTTTAACGTTTTGTTGAGAAATTTACAAGGTAAGTTTTATTCTGATGGTGAAAATAACTTAATTTTTAATAATACTGTCAGATATTAACTTTAAGTGCTTTTATTGCTGTTAATAGGTTTTTCATTACAAAATTATCAAATAATTATACTTTTTATTGTATTATCATAACCAACAAGTAATATTATATATATTTTTTATTTATTTCCCTTTAATTTTTAAATCTATTTTCATTAACTTTGAAAAATATTATGTTTAATTTATAATTGATCATAACATTTTCAGGTATGATATTGATTGTTACATTGTGATGTTATTAATTAACTTGACTAAAGGTTTTAAATTAACAATTTCAACAATATTTTAAATATATTGAAAAAATTTCACATTATTACATTGTTTGGAAAGAATTCATTCATGTATGCGCTCAATTTTTATTATTAAGAAAAAATCTTTAAATTTTTTAAAGATTGTATTTGATATTTCTTTATAAGTGAGAATATAGTAATTTGTTTCTGTATCTAGATGGGTGGGAAAGATAAATTAAGTCGCAAGATGATCTTTCCATATACATTCACTGCAAAAATAGTTCAGTTCCCTCACAAATTACATTTCCAACATCATTGGATGTACCCTTGGTTTATTGGTGCTACCATCTTATCAATGCCATTATTTTATAAGATTCAACAAGCTGGTAATTTTATGTTTTTTAAATCACTTATTACTGAGTATAATAAATATTTTTATTTCAGCCAACAGTGAGGCGAATATTAAAATATGGTCTGAAAAAAGGAGACGCGAAGAAGAACATCATAAGCATAAATGGGATTAATTTAAAATGTATATTTGTAAAAAATAAAAAAAATCATATTTAATATATAAATATCATTTCTATTATTGTTACTTCGAGTTTTTCAATTAATGAAATGAAAAACATGTTACAAAAATTAATTAATCTTCTTCTTATTCCTCGCCTTAATCCTATTGACTATTTTGACAGTTAAAGTTTCATTATTTTAAGTTAATCAAAAAAAGTTATAGTAGAAAGTTCAACTTTTTTATGAAAAATGTCAATCAAATTTAACTTTAAAGATACAAAATATCGGGTAGACTCAAATTGTCCCAAACTTTACAGTACTTTTATTAAACATCAAAAAATCATTTTAAGGAAAAAATTGTTTTTTTTTTTATGATTAATTACAGTGTTATTATCACTTAATTATTATTTTGTAATTATCTCAAAAACTAGATGTGATAGAATCATCTAAAGCCAGACTCGGAAATAATTTCAAATTTTTTTATAGAAATCATATAAAAATTTTAAAAAGAAAATGTTGTCTTGTGTTATTTATACTTACTGTATTATTAAATGTGAATTCAATAACATTTTTAGTTACTACTAATAATATAATATTTATTGTTATATTATTCGAAAATCCAGAATCTCAGACCAGTGGTAGGTATTTTTCAATATTTATAATTTAATGAGTTCTTTTTTGTACATCATATAATAAAATACTTCCCTATTAGTTTAATAAAATCTAGTAGATCTTCTTCTTCCTCTTCTTAATCCCAACTATTTGGGGTCGGCCACCCTTATCTCAAACTTCCACTTGATACGATCTCCCACATCAGCTGTCCTTATATCGCATTCAATAGCATCCCTCCTCTCTTTTTTGATCTTCCTCTGCCTCATCTTCCTTCATCATTCAATTCTATAACTGTCCTACCAGGCACGTTGCCAGAAAATATTTATTGGAGGGGCCAACAATTATTATTAATTTATATTATATTAATAAAAATGCCCCCTTAATTACCAACTCCCCCTAACTCTCTCTTTAATAATACCCCCTTAATTACCAACTCCCCCTAACTCTCTCTTTAATAATACCCCTTAATTACCAACTCCCCTAACTCTCTCTTAAATATACCCCCTTAATTACATATCCCCCTAACTACTCTTTTAGTATTCTCCCTTAATTACTAACTCCTCCTAACTTTTAGTATAACCCCTAATTCTTCTTTATTATTGACACTTAATTATTAATTACCCTTAGATACTATTTTTTCTCTCCCTTAATTACTATATTTCACATCCTGAATTACTAATTATTACCCTTAAATTACTGTATCTCACAACCTTAATTACTAATTATTCCTATTTTCTCTCCCTTTATTACCAATTATTATTATTCTGCTCCCTAAATACATGTTACTACTAATTTATTACACCCTTAATACTAAGTACTATGGGTTTATACTAATTACCATTATTCTGCAAAGAAATTATAATAAACAGAAATATACTTTTCTTTTTCAACTTTTCGCGCTCTTTTTAAATCTCTAATTAGACTTTTTCTATCACTTCTAAGTTTTGATAGAATTACTTATTATTAAAAAATAAGTATTGACATAAAAAAAATTGTTAGCTTCGATGCGAAGCGGAGAAGGTATTAATTTTACTATGATGTGTTTTTTTTTTTTTTATGTCTGTTGCCACTTTTTCTCAGCTCTCACTGGACCGATTTCTTTCAAAAATACGCCAAAA